AGGACACCGGAAGCTGCCGTGAGGCACGCAGGATGACCGGAAGCCGCCATGAGGCTCGCAGGACGCGCGGGGCACCGGAAGCCGCCGTGAGGCACGCAGGATGACCGGAAGCCGCCATGAGGCTCGCAGGCGCCGGAAGCCGCCGTGAGGCACGCAGGAAGCACGCAGGATGACCGGAAGCCGGCCCTGAGGCACGCAGGAAGCACGCAGGATGACCGGAAGCCGCCGTGAGGCACGCAGGAAGCACGCAGGCGCCGGAAGCCGGCCCTGAGGCACGCAGGAAGCACGCAGGATGACCGGAAGCCGCCGTGAGGCACGCAGGAAGCACGCAGGCGCCGGAAGCCGGCCCTGAGGCTCGCAGGAAGCTCGCAGGCGCCGGAAGCCGCCCTGAGGCTCGCAGGCGCCGGAAGCCGCCCTGAGGCTCGCAGGCGCCGGAAGCCGCCATGAGGCATGCAGGAAGCACGCAGGATGACCGGAAGCCGCCGTGAGGCACGCAGGAAGCGCCGGAAGCCGGCCCTGAGGCACGCAGGAAGCACGCAGGATGACCGGAAGCCGCCCTGAGACTCGCAGGAAGCACGCAGGATGACCGGAAGCCGGCCCTGAGGCTCGCAGGAAGCACGCAGGATGACCGGAAGCCGGCCCTGAGGCTCGCAGGAAGCACGCAGGATGACCGGAAGCCGGCCCTGAGGCTCGCAGGAAGCACGCAGGCGCCGGAAGCCGGCCCTGAGGCACGCAGGAAGCACGCAGGATGACCGGAAGCCGCCCTGAGGCACGCAGGAAGCACGCAGGCGCCGGAAGCCGGCCCTGAGGCTCGCAGGAAGCTCGCAGGCGCCGGAAGCCGCCCTGAGACTCGCAGGCGCCGGAAGCCGCCATGAGGCTCGCAGGCGCCGGAAGCCGTGAGGCACGCAGGACACCGGAAGCCGCCGTGAGGCACGCCGGAAGCCGCCGTGAGGCACGCCGGACACCGGAAGCCGCCGTGAGGCACGCCGGAAGCCGCCGTGAGGCACGCAGGACACCGGAAGCCGCCGTGAGGCACGCCGGAAGCCGCCGTGAGGCACGCAGGACACCGGAAGCCGCCGTGAGGCACGCCGGAAGCCGCCGTGAGGCACGCAGGACACCGGAAGCCGCCGTGAGGCACGCCGGAAGCCGCCGTGAGGCACGCAGGACACCGGAAGCCGCCGTGAGGCACGCCGGAAGCCGCCGTGAGGCACGCAGGACACCGGAAGCCGCCGTGAGGCACGCCGGAAGCCGCCGTGAGGCACGCAGGACACCGGAAGCCGCCGTGAGGCTCGCAGGACGCGCGGGGCACCGGAAGCCGCCGTGAGGCTCGCAGGAAGCACGCAGGATGACCGGAAGCCGCCCTGAGACTCGCAGGATGACCGGAAGCCGCCATGAGGCTCGCAGGCGCCGGAAGCCGTGAGGCACGCAGGAAGCACGCAGGATGACCGGAAGCCGGCCCTGAGGCACGCAGGAAGCACGCAGGATGACCGGAAGCCGGCCCTGAGGCACGCAGGAAGCACGCAGGATGACCGGAAGCCGGCCGTGGGCTCTCAGGGCCGGAAGTGGAGTACGCAGGCGGAAGACTAGAAGGAACTAGCCCGGCTGGGTTTGCACCGGTTCTGACAGGAGGCCAGAGCCGCCCTCCGCCCTCCGCCCTCCCGTCCTCCACCCTTCCGTCCTCCGCCCTCCGTCCTTCCGTCCTCCGCCCTCCGTCCTCCGCCCTTCCGCCCTCCGTCCTCCACCCTTCCGCCCTCAGTCCTCCACCCTTCCGTCCTCCACCCTTCCGTCCTCCGCCCTCCGCCCTTCCGTCCTCCGCCCTTCCGTCCTCCGCCCTCCACCCTTCCGTCCTCCGCCCTCCGTCCTCCGCCCTTCCGTCCTCCGCCCTCCGCCCTTCCGTCCTCCGCCCTCCGCCCTTCCGTCCTCCACCCTTCCGTCCTCCGCCCTCCACCCTTCCGTCCTCCGCCCTCCGTCCTCCGCCCTTCCGCCCTCCGTCCTCCGCCCTTCCGTCCTCCACCCTTCCGTCCTCTGCCCTCCACCCTTCCGCCCTCCGTCCTCCACCCTTCCGCCCTCCGCCCTCCGTCCTCCGTCCTCCGCCCTCCGCCCTTCCGTCCTCCGCCCTTCCGTCCTCCGCCCTCCGCCCTTCCGTCCTCCACCCTTCTGTCCTCTGCCCTCCACCCTTCCGCCCTCCGCCCTCCGTCCTCCGTCCTCCGCCCTCCGCCCTTCCGTCCTCCGCCCTTCCGTCCTCCGCCCTCCACCCTTCCGCCCTCCGCCCTCCGTCCTCCGTCCTCCGCCCTCCGCCCTTCCGTCCTCCGTCCTCCGTCCTCCGCCCTCCGCCCTTCCGTCCTCCGCCCTTCCGTCCTCCGCCCTCCGCCCTTCCGTCCTCCGCCCTCCGTCCTCCGCCCTTCCGCCCTCCGTCCTCCACCCTTCCGTCCTCCACCCTTCCGTCCTCCACCCTTCCGTCCTCTGCCCTCCACCCTTCCGCCCTCCTACCTCCACCCTTCCGTCCTCCGCCCTCAGTCCTCCACCCTTCCGTCCTCCACCCTTCCGTCCTCCACCCTTCCGTCCTCTGCCCTCCGCCCTTCCGCCCTCCGCCCTCCGCCCTTCCGTCCTCCGCCCTTCCGTCCTCCGCCCTTCCGTCCTCCGCCCTTCCGTCCTCCGTCCTCCGCCCTTCCGTCCTCCGCCCTTCCGTCCTCCGTCTTTCCGTCCTCCGTCTTTCCGTCCTCCGCCCTTCTATCCTCCGTCCTCCGCCCTCCGCCCTTCCATCCTCCGTCCTCCGTCCTCCACCCTTCCGTCCTCCGCCCTTCCGTCCTCCGTCTTTCCGTCCTCCACCCTTCCGTCCTCCGCCCTTCCGTCCTCCGCCCTTCCGTCCTCCGCCCTTCCGTCCTCCGCCCTTCCGTCCTCCGTCTTTCCGTCCTCCGTCCTTCCGTCCTCCGTCTTCCAGCCGCGGGAGGGAGGCCGAGGCAGGGGCCGGAGGCCGAGGCCCGCTGAGGTGGGAGAAGCACTCTCTCGAAGGAAGGCGTCCCTTTAGTGACCGCGCGTGCGCAGTGGTGGAGCAGGCCTAGCCAGCGGGAAGACCCGCCCCCTCCGACCCTAGGACACGGCCGCCCTCCCCACCCCACCCGCGCGGCTTCTTGCTGACGTCTGACTCCCAGAAGATAAAAGCTGACCATGCCTTCGGCCCTCCCAGGCCTTGGACACGGCCTGCCCCCCACTGTGCCGCCACCGGCCCTGCCCGTGTGAGGACCAGAGCGGCCTTGCTCAGGAGACCAGGCTCATGGCCACGTCGGGGTCACCCCTGGCAGGACCGCACAGAGGGACAGAGCCACAGAGGAGCAAATGTGGGGAGGTGGGAGCCGCTGCCGGAACTCCAGTGCCTCAGAGCTGCGGCCCAGGGCGGCCTCGCCTGCTCTCCCTTCCCAGAGCCTGGACCCCGCAGACCCTGGAACCGCACTCCAGTGCCCTACACCCCGAGTCCCAGCTACTCAGAAAGCTGAAACCTGAATGTTGTGGTTCAGTGTCAGTTTAGGCCGGTAAATCTGCAAGTCTCTTATCTCCAAAAGCCAGAAATGAAAGCATGACTCAAGCGCTAGAGGGCCGGCCATAGCGACAGAGCGGATCGAGAGTGGAAGGCTGATCCCAGCCCAAGCACCAGCAAAAATAACCCCAGCCAGGCACTGGTGGCTCACACCTGTCATCCCAGCTTCTCAGGAGGCCACATCTGAGGATCGCAGTTCAAAGCCAGCTCAGGAAAGTCCATGAGACTCTTATCCCCAATAAACCACCAGAAAACTGGAAGTGGTGCTGTGGCTCAAGTGGTAGAGCGCTCGCCTTGAGCAAAAGAGCTGAGGGACAGTGCCCAGGACCAGAGTTCAAGCCTCATGACTGACAAAAACAAAACAAAAATGCCATGGTGCCACCTGTCCAGGGTCATACCCTGGAGGATGAGAAAATGGAGGCTCTAAGCTCTTGCCCCGGCTGCCTGCGTCCACAGCTACCTGCCCATTCTCCTCCCACTTGTCAGAGAACAGAATGTGCCAGAACAAGGGTCACACTGCACTGTCCTCTGGGAGCCAGACCCCCTGGCCTGGGGTGAACATACGGCATAAAGGGTCCAACAAATGGTGGTTCAGTCCTTGGCTGAGGCTCCAACCATACCTCGGAGGTAGTCAGCATTCTCCTGGGGGGGGGGTGCCCACACCCGGGGCCGGGACTTGGGGACAACTTCAGGTCCAGGCCCAGGCTTGCATGTGCTGGGTGGAAGGATACCCTCAGGTCTGAGCCTGCTGAGTGGAAGGGCATGATAGACAGGGACAGCAACAGAAGCGAGCTGACAGTGCCCCCACAGCGGGAAATGGAGCCAGGGATGCCAAGCCCTCCTCCATGGGGCACACTGGGACTGGACAGTTGGGGACCCTGTCGCTGACCATGGAGAGACTGTGGTACCCAAGCTCAGATGTAGACTCAGCCAGCAGGACCTGAGATGTTATGGCTACCTTGAACATGCAGGAAGGATGCAGCAGGATGTCCCCCACCCACCCAGGAAGGACACGGCAGGACACCCACCACCCACCCAGGAAGGACAGGACACCCACCACCCACCCAGGAAGACACGGCAGGACACCCACCACCCACCCAGGAAGACACGGCAGGACACCCACCATCCACCCAGGAAGGACAGGACACCCACCACCCACCCAGGAAGACACGGCAGGACACCCACCACCCAGGAAGGGTACAGCCACCTCCAGAGCACCAGGCCCCTTTCAGGGCCCCTATCTCCAGTCCTGTGCCTGGGTGGAGCTGCGGAGGGCATGTCTATCGTCTTCAGTGAGTCTGCAGCATGGTGGTCCAGGTGTTTTCTAAGTGGGAGCCGTGGGGAGGAGAACCCCTCTCTGCTCACAGCCTGGTGCCCGCCCCTTCCAGTTCCAGTACCCCACTCTCAAGGGAGGAGGCCTGCTGGCCGCAGTAGACAACAAGCCGGAGCAAACATAGGCAGCATGTGAGGCGAAAAAGCAAATCCCTTAATTTATCCACAGATGAAAAGATTAAAAGGTCAGCAAATCAACTCCAGATCAGTGTAAGGCACTGTGCCAGGGGCCGAGGCTGGTCCAGGGTGCAGCCTCATGCTGGGGGCCAGGGGCGCCTGCCCCCCCACCGCACTACGTAAGTGTCGGGTCCTCGATGCCGTGGTCTGGGTTGCAGGTGAAGGCGATGGTGATGGCATAGCGCGTGCCCCAGCGCACCTTCTCCACGCGGTGGAGGTTCTCAGAGCCAGAGGTGAAGAAGGAGACCCGGCCTGGGAGAGGGAGGGAGGAGAAAGAGGTGACCCCCAGGCCCTCCAAGAACAGGGCAGCAACCACCAACAGGCCAGACAGGCCAGAACCGCTGCCCTAAGCAGCCAGTGCTTCTCACAGCTGCTTCCAGGGTGCTGGAAGACCGCACCCCTGCCAAGCTTCTGGTTCCAGGGACTCTGTTTATTGGCTTGAGCAGCTAACTGGCCCTGCTGGAGTTTTCTGTTTTGTTTTTGACCGTAATGGAGCTTGAACTCTGATCCTGGGCGCTGTCCCTCAGCTCTTCAGCTCAAGGCGAGCGCTCTGCCACTTGAGCCACAGCGCCACTTCCGGCTTTTTCTGTGTTTGTGGTGCTGAGGAATCGAACCCAGGGCCTCATGCATGTGAGGCAAGCGCTCTACCCCTGAGCCGTCTTCCCAGCCCCCTGCTTCTGGTTTTTGTTTTGTTTTGATGGTAAGCCTTGCTAGGTACTCCCCTCAGCCAGGACAACGCTTTAAGTAATGCTGAGATCCCAGAGGGCCTCTGCCTGCCTGGCTCCCAGATTCTGAGCTGAGTCCATTTCCCTCCCAAGGCTATGGCTGGAAGTGGCATCCCCGCCTTTTTTTGTTTTTGTTTTTTGTTGGCCATGGCTTGAACTCTGGGCCAGGTGCTGTCCCTCAGCTCTTCAGCTCAAGGCGAGCGCTCTACCACTTGAGCCACAGCGCCACTTCCTGTCTTCTGGTGGCTTATTGGAGATAAGAGTCTCACGAACTTTCCTGTCCAGGCTGGCTTTGAACCACAATCCTCAGAGTAGCTAGGATTACAGGCATGAGCCACCGGCACCTGGCCCTGCCTTTCATATTTGCAATTAAACCAAACCTTTGAAAAGGACAAAAAGTTCACCCCAACAAGTACCGCACACTAGGCATCAGCAGCCTAGGAACAGCAAAGCAGTGGTGCTATGCTTTTTCCTGAAAGAAAGAAACAGGAGACCCAGAGCAGCTCCAGGGAGACGGTCAGGCCTGGGACTCCTGCACCCACCCGGGCCGGCCAAGGCACTCTTTCCATGGAGATCTGGAGTCAACGCTTTCCATTTTGTGGTTTACAACATTTGTCCTTGATTTCTAGAGGTCAGAACTAGCAGCCCAGGCGCGGTCCAGCATGAGACCCGTCCACCGTGGCCTCACACTCCCGTGTGCCTGCACCGCCCACCCACCTGCCCTCCCGCTCTGTCCCCTCCACCCTCCGCCCAGACGACCTGGCATGGCTGCTTAATGGTGCAAAGGACAAAGGAGGGCCAGGGAGAGGCAGGAAGCCATCCGTCAGCAGGCCCTGAGGCCTCAGGTAAGGGGAGGTCACCTGCCCCTTCCACCTGGGCAGCAGCCAGGCCTGGGCCGTGCCCGGGCGAGCGCCCACCTCAGGGCGCAGGCCCCACCTCGCTAAGGAACAAGCCCGGATGGCCGTGCACCGACGCTGCACTGCGACATACAGGAAATGGCTTTGGGATGCCCCGGGCCCAGCGCCTCAGGAGGCTGAGACCGGAGGACGGCGGTTCAAGGCCGGCCCGGGCAGGGAAGTCCGTGAGACTCGGATCGCCAATGAACCACCAGAAAGCCGGAAGTGGCGCGGTGGCTGCGGCGGCAAGCGCAGGGGTTTACACTTCCCGCGAAAACGCTGAGTGGACTCGGGGTGAGCGCCGGACGGGGGTGGGGGGGTGGGGGGGGTGGTGAGGGCTGTGGGCGGGGCCTCCGCAGGGTTGTGGGCGGGGCTTGGCAGGCCCTGCCTTGGTAGAGCTGTGGGCGGGGCCTCGGTGGCGCTGTGGGCGGGGCCGCAGTGGGGCCGTGGGCGGGGCCCTGCTGCGTAAAGTCAGTCGGCACCCAGCCTGAGGCACCCAGCCTGACACGGCCCGCGCTCCGTCACGGACGCCACGCCCACAGCGGTGACACTGGCCTGGGCCTGCGGCAGGCGTGCGCGTGCACGCGTGGCGGTCACTGCGGTGGAGGTCACTGCGCCGGGCGAGGGCCACGCGCACGCGCACACAGCCCCGCAAGCCCTACCGGCCCTGGGTTCCACCGTCTTGTTGGCGCCGTCCTCCATGAACACGAAGCGCCCTCCTCCGAAGTCCTCCAGGTAGTCGGAGAGGTACAGCAGGGAGGTGTAGTCGAAGGAGCCGTAGGCCACCTGCGGCGACACGCCAGGCGGCCGTCACCCGGCGCCGCGGGCGGGGCCGGGCCAGGGGCGGCTGCGGGCGGGGGCGGCTGTGGGCGGCCGGGGGCGGCTGCGGGCGGGCGGGGGCGGCCGGGGGCGGCTGCGGGCGGGCGGGGGCGGCTGCGGGCGGGCGGGGGCGGCTGCGGGTGGGGGCGGCTGTGGGCGGGCGGGGGCGGCTGCGGGTGGGGGCGGCTGTGGGCGGCCGGGGGCGGCTGCGGGCGGGGGCGGCTGCGGGTGGGGGCGGCTGTGGGCGGGCGGGGGCAGCTGCGGGCGGGGGCGGCTGCGGGTGGGGGCGGCTGTGGGCGGCCGGGGGCGGCTGCGGGCGGGGGCGGCTGTGGGCGGCCGGGGGCGGCTGCGGGTGGGGGCGGCTGCGGGTGGGGGGCGGCTGCGGGCGGGGGCGGCTGCGGGCGGGGGCGGCTGTGGGCGGGGGCGGCTGCGGGTGGGGGCGGCTGCGGGCGGGGGCGGCTGCGGGTGGGGGCGGCTGTGGGCGGCCGGGGGCGGCTGCGGGCGGGGGCGGCTGCGGGCGGGGGCGGCTGCGGGTGGGGGCGGCTGCGGGCGGGGGCGGCTGCGGGTGGGGGCGGCTGCGGGCGGGGGCGGCTGCGGGTGGGGGCGGCTGTGGGCGGGCGGGGGCAGCTGCGGGCGGGGGCGGCTGCGGGCGGGCGGGGGCGGCTGCGGGCGGGGGCGGCTGCGGGTGGGGGCGGCTGTGGGCGGCCGGGGGCGGCTGCGGGCGGGGGCGGCTGTGGGCGGGGGCGGCTGCGGGCGGGGGCGGCTGCGGGTGGGGGCGGCTGCGGGTGGGGGCGGCTGCGGGCGGGGGCGGCTGCGGGTGGGGGCGGCTGTGGGCGGGCGGGGGCGGCTGCGGGCGGGGGCGGCTGCGGGCGGGCGGGGGCGGCTGCGGGTGGGGGCGGCTGTGGGCGGCCGGGGGCGGCTGCGGGCGGGGGCGGCTGTGGGCGGCCGGGGGCGGCTGCGGGTGGGGGGCGGCTGCGGGCGGCCGGGGGCGGCTGCGGGCGGGGGCGGCTGCGGGCGGGGGGCGGCTGCGGGCGGGGGCGGCTGTGGGCGGCCGGGGGCGGCTGCGGGCGGCCGGGGGGCAGCTGCGGCCGGGGGCGGCTGCGGGCGGGGCCGGGCCAGGGGCGGCTGCGGCCGGGGGCGGCTGCGGGCGGCCGGGGGCGGCTGCGGGCGGGCCCGGACCCCGGCGCCCGGGAGCGCCGTGTGTGTGCCGTGTGTGTGGAATGTGTGCGATGTGTGTGTGTGTGACGTGTGTGCGGTGTGTGATGTGTGTGTGGAATGTGTGTGACGTGTGTGGTGTGTCTGTGACGTGTGTGGTGTGTGTGACGTGTGTGGTGTGTCTGTGACGTGTGTGGTGTGTGTGGTGTGTGTGTGTGACGTGTGTGGTGTGTCTGTGACGTGTGTGGTATGTGTGTCTGTGACGTGTGTGGTGTGTGTGGTATGTGTGTGTGTGACGTGTGTGGTGTGTCTGTGACGTGTGTGGAATGTGTGGTGTGTGTGTGTGGTGTGTGTGACGTGCGACGTGTGTGTGGAATGTGTGTGGTGTGTGTGACGTGTGCGGTGTGTGTGGTGGAACGTGTGTGGTGTGTGTGACGTGTGTGGTGTGTCTGTGACGTGTGTGGTGTGTGTGGTATGTGTGTGTGTGACGTGTGTGGTGTGTCTGACGTGTGTGGTGTGTGTGTGTGTGTGACGTGTGTGGAATGTGTGGTGTGTGTGGTGTGTGTGACATGTGTGGTATGTCTGTGACGTGTGTGGTGTGTGTGGTGTGTGTCTGTGACGTGTGTGGAATGTGTGGTGTGTGTGACGTGTGTGGTATGTCTGTGACGTGTGGTGTGTGTGTGTGACGTGTGTGGTGTGTGTGACGTGTATGGAATGTGTGGTGTGTGTGTGTGTGGTGTGTGTGACGTGTGTGGTATGTCTGTGACGTGTGTGGTGTGTGGTGTGTGTGTGGTATGTCTGTGACGTGTGTGTGTGTGGTGTGTGTGACGTGTGTGGTATGTCTGTGACGTGTGGTGTGTGTGGTGTGTGTGTGTGACGTGTGTGGTGTGTGTGACGTGTATGGAGTGTGTGGTGTGTGTGTGTGTGGTGTGTGTGACGTGTGTGGTGTGTCTGTGACGTGTATGGAATGTGTGGTGTGTGGTGTGTGTGGTGTGTGTGTGGTGTGTGTGACGTGTGTGGTATGTCTGTGACGTGTGTGGTGTGTGTGTGGTGTGTGACGTGTGTGGAATGTGTGGTGTGTGGCATGTGTGGTGTGTGTAGTGTGTGGTGTGTGTGACATGTGTGGTGTGTGACTGTGGAATGTGTGGTGTGTGGCATGTGGGTTGTGTGCGTGGTGGAATGTGTGTGGTGTGTGTGTGGTATGTGTGTGTGTGGTGGAATGTGTGTGTTGTGTGTGATCCAGAATTCACCCTGAAAGACGTCAGAGCAGACTGCAGAGCTGGGGCCTCAGCAGGCCTTTACAGGGGGACCCCCTTCCCCGACCCTGCAGGGCCCAGCCCCCCTTTGCGCCCCCCTTGGGGCCCGGCCACCTTTGCACCCCCCCTGGGGCCCGGCCACCTTTGCACCCCCCCCGGGGCCCAGCCACCTTTGCGCTCCCCCCCAGGCCCGGCCACCTTTGCGCTCCCCCCCAGGCCCGGCCACCTTTGCGCTCCCCCCCCGGGGCCCGGCCACCTTTGTGCTCCCCCCTGGGGCCTGGCCCACCTTTGCACCCCCCCCCTGGGGCCTGGCCACCTTTGTGCCCCCCCCTGGGGCCTGGCCCACCTTTGCACCCCCCCCCCGGGGCCCGGCCACCTTTGCGCCCCCCCCCCTGGGGCCTGGCCCACCTTTGCACCCCCCCCTGGGGCCTGGCCCACCTTTGCACACCCCCCTGGGGCCCGGCCACCTTTGCACCCCCCCCTGGGGCCTGGCCCACCTTTGCACCCCCCCCCCCGGGGCCCGGCCACCTTTGCACCCCCCCCGGGGCCCGGCCACCTTTGCACCCCCCCCCCCCCGGGGCCCGGCCACCTTTGCACCCCCCCCCCCCGGGGCCCGGCCACCTTTGCGCCCCCCGGGGCCCGGCCACCTTTGCCCCCCCCCGGGGCCCGGCCACCTTTGCGCCCCCCCCCCCCGGGGCCCGGCCACCTTTGCACCCCCCCCCGGGGCCCGGCCACCTTTGCACCCCCCCCGGGGCCTGGCCACCTTTGCGCCCCCCCCGGGGCCCGGCCACCTTTGTGCCCCCCCCGGGGCCCGGCCACCTTTGCGCCCCCCCCGGGGCCCGGCCACCTTTGCGCCCCCCCCCCGGGGCCCGGCCACCTTTGCCCCCCCCCCGGGGCCCGGCCACCTTTGCGCCCCCCCCCCGGGGCCCGGCCACCTTTGCACCCCCCCCCCCCGGGGCCCGGCCACCTTTACGCCCCCCCCGGGGCCCGGCCACCTTTGCACCCCCCCCCCCCGGGGCCCGGCCACCTTTGCGCCCCCCCCGGGGCCCGGCCACCTTTGCGCCCCCCCCCCCCCCGGGGCCCGGCCACCTTTGCACCCCCCCAGGCCTGGCCCACCTTGTCCACATGTGCGTGCCAGTACTCATCGTGGGCCGTCCGGGGCGTCTGTGCTGTTGATGCGAGAGAAGAAGGTGGGCCTGGTGAGATGCAGCAAGGAGGCACTGACGCCAAAGGCATGGGCGATGGTGAGCTGGACCCTCCGCCGCAGGTCCCTGTGGAGCACAGGTGCCATCTGAGTGGCCGGGCCTCGGGGGACGCTTTGGTCCTGGACCCAGAGAGCAGAGGGCAGCAGAACGTGTCCCTAGACACCTGACACACAGCGTGTGCCCAGACATTTAGTTTTCAGCCACATGTTCTGGATCCAGAATCCACCCTGAAAGATGTCAGAGCAGACTGCAGGGCTGGGGCCACAGCAGGCCTTTGCAGGGGGACCCCTCCTTCCCCCCGCACGCGGGGCCCGGCCCCCCTGGTCCACACGCGTCAACCTTTGCGCACCCCCCCGTGGCCAGCTGTGGGGTGGCCACAGCCCCGGGGCCCCCAGGCCCCCAGCAGTGCTGGGGCCTCTTTGTGACCGGGGCAAGGCCCAGGAGCTGGGCAAGCTGAGGGCAGGTAGGACAGAGACCAGCGCCTGAGTGCTGATCCCTGCAGGGACAGCTGTGTGACCCGGTGTCTGGGGCGCCCAAGGAGAAGCTCAGCACCCCTCCCCACACACAGCTGCTACTGCTTCAAGAAGCTGGACAGAGCCAGGTCCACAGCACACCAGAAAGAAAATTCTCACAGGTTAGTGTGTCTCTAAAGGCAGCACACACAGCTAGCTGCCTGCGTGTGTGCCCCACACACCTGTGTACATGTAACACACGCACACAGCTGCCTGTGTGTGTGCCCCACACCGCTGTGTACATGTAACACACACACACAGCTGCCTGCGTGTGTGCCCCACACCGCTGTGTACATGTAACACGTACACAGCTGCCTGCGTGTGTGCCCACACACCTGTGTACCTGTAACACACACACACACAGCTGCCTGCGTGTGTGCCCACACACCTGTGTACATGTAACACACGCACACAGCTGCCTGTGTGTGTGCCCACACACCTGTGTACATGTAACACACACACACCTGCCTGCGTGTGTGCCCACACACCTGTGTACATGTAACATACACACACAGCTGCCTGCGTGTGTGCCCCACACACCTGTGTACCTGTAACACACACACACACAGCTGCCTGCGTGTGTGCCCACACACCTGTGTACATGTAACACACGCACACAGCTGCCTGTGTGTGTGCCCACACACCTGTGTAGATGTAACACACACACCTGCCTGCGTGTGCCCACACACCTGTGTACATGTAACACGCACACACAGCTGCCTGCGTGTGTGCCCACACACCTGTGTACATGTAACACACGCACACAGCTGCCTGTGTGTGTGCCCACACACCTGTGTAGATGTAACACACACACACCTGCCTGCGTGTGCCCACACACCTGTGTACATGTAACACACACACACAGCTGCCTGCGTGTGTGCCCCACACACCTGTGTATATGTAACACACATGCACACACACCTGCCTGTGTGTGCCCCACACACCTGTGTACATGTAACACGCACACACAGCTGCCTGTGTGTGTGCCCCACACACCTGTGTACATGTAACACATGCACACACACCTGCCCGTGTGTGCCCCACACACCTGTGTACATGTAACACGCACACACAGCTGCCTGCGTGTGTGCCCACACACCTGTGTACATGTAACACACGCACACAGCTGCCTGCGTGTGTGCCCCACACACCTGTGTACATGTAACACACGCACACAGCTGCCTGCGTGTGTGCCCCACACACCTGTGTACATGTAACACACGCACACAGCTGCCTGCGTGTGTGCCCCACACACCTGTGTACATGTAACACACGCACACAGCTGCCTGCGTGTGTGCCCCACACACCTGTGTACATGTAACACGCGCACACAGCTGCCTGCGTGTGTGCCCCACACACCTGTGTACATGTAACACACGCACACAGCTGCCTGCGTGTGTGCCCCACACACCTGTGTACATGTAACACACGCACACAGCTGCCTGCGTGTGTGCCCCACACACCTGTGTACATGTAACACACGCACACAGCTGCCTGCGTGTGTGCCCCACACACCTGTGTACATGTAACACATGCACACACGCCCGTGCACACAGACTGTATTGGAATCATAAGTCGCTGAAGCTGGCCTCTCAGTCCTCCTGCTCGCTTTCCTAGTGCTGTGATTACAGTCACACACCACCATGCCCAGCCTAATTAAACTACCAGACAGTCCTAAGAACTACACTTGTGAAGCGAGGGCATGGCTCACATGGTAGAACACTTGCCTGACAAGTACAAGGCCCTGAGTTCAGACTCCCTTGCTGCCAAATAAAGAGGGAGATGACTGTGCTGGACCTTGCCCGACAGTCCTGGGCGTCTGGTGGGTCTCCCCCACGATGGCTGCCGAGTCCACAGGAGCAGAGCACAGCCCTTCCACCTGTGGCTCTCCTTGGCTCACAGGTGCGCCAGCACTGCAAGCCATCCACGGTCCTCACTCGGTCGTCACGGAGACACACAGCGTTCTGACCCACCAGTGCGGTGACTGGTGAGTGCAGAGGACGGGGGCCAGGCAGCCACGCTGCGACAGTCAAGCTCTGCTCTCCACTAGAAAACAGCGCCACCTACCTTCCGTCCATGCTCATTTTGTCTCAGCAACCGTGGGACTTAGCATTGTCAAAACATGACCCCACCCTGTCCCCTTACTTGTACATGTGTTCACAGTGGGCGCAAGGGATAAAATGAACCCAAGCGCCAGCAGCAGAGCAGGCCCTGGAGACAGCAGTGGGCTGGGTCCTAAGCCAAGCCATGCATGTGGAGCCGAGTGCAAGGGGGGACTCCAGACAGCACCCCACACCACAGACAGCAGCACCCCACACCACAGACAGCCCCCCACACCACAGACAGCCCCCCACACCACAGAGAGCCCCCACACCACAGATAGCCCCCCACACCACAGACAGCCCCCCACACCACACCACAGACAGCCCCCACACCACACCACAGACAGCCCCCACACCACACCACAGACAGCCCCCACACCACAGACAGCCCTCCACACCATACCACAGACAGCCCCCACACCACACCACAGACAGCCCCCCACACCACACCACAGACAGCCCCCACACCACAGACAGCCCCCACACCATACCACAGACAGCCCCCCACACCACACCACAGACAGCCCCCCACAGCACACCACAGACAGCACCCACACCACAGACAGCCCCCACACCACACCACAGACAGCCCCCACACCACAGACAGCCCCCACACCACAGACAGCCCTCCACACCACAGACAGCCCTCCACACCACACCACAGACAGCCCCCACACCACACCACAGACAGCCCCCCACACCACACCACAGACAGCCCCCCACACCACACCACAGACAGCCCCCCACAGCACACCACAGACAGCACCCACACCACAGACAGCCCCCACACCACACCACAGACAGCCCCCACACCACAGACAGACCCCACACCACAGACAACCCCCCACACCATACCACAGACAGCCCCCCACACCACACCACAGACAGCCCCCACACCACAGACAGCCCCCACACTATACCACAGACAGCCCCCCACACCACAGACAGCCCTCCACACCACACCACAGACAGCCCCCACACCACAGACAGCCCCCCACACCATACCACAGACAGCCCCCCACACCACAGACAGCCCCCACACCACACCACAGACAGCCCCCACACCACACCACAGACAGCCCCCACACCACACCACAGACAGCCCCCACACCACAGACAGCCCCCACACCACACCACAGACAGCCCCCCACACCACACCACAGACAGCCCCCCACACCACAGACAGCCCCCCACACCACACCACAGAGAGCCCCCCACACCACAGACAGCACCCCACACCACAGACAGCCCCCCACACCACAGACAGCCCCCACACCACACCACAGACAGCCCCCACACCACAGACAGCCCCCCACACTATACCACAGACAGCCCCCACACCACACCACAGACAGCCCCCACACCACAGACAGCCCCCCACACCACACCACAGACAGCCCCCACACCACACCACAGACAGCCCCCACACCACACCACAGACAGCCCCCCACACCACAGACAGCCCCCACACCACAGACAGCCCCCCACACCACACCACAGACAGCCCCCACACCACACCACAGACAGCCCCCCACACCACAGACAGCCCCCACACCACAGACAGCCCCCCACACCACACCACAGACAGCCCCCACACCACACCACAGACAGCCCCCACACCACAGACAGCCCCCACACCACAGACAGCCCCCACACCACACCACAGACAGCCCCCCACACCACACCACAGACAGCCCCCACACCACACCACAGACAGCCCCCACACCACAGACAGCCCCCACACCACACCACAGACAGCCCCCACACCACACCACAGACAGCCCCCCACACCACACCACAGACAGCCCCCCACACCACAGACAGCCCCCACACCACAGACAGCCCCCACACTATACCACAGACAGCCCCCACACCACACCACAGACAGCCCCCACACCACAGACAGCCCCCCACACCACAGACAGCCCCCCACACCACAGACAGCCCCCCACACCACACCACAGAGAGCCCCCCCCACCACAGACAGCCCCCCACACCACAGACAGCCCCCACACCACAGACAGCCCCCCACACCACACCACAGACAGCACCCACACCACAGACAGCACCCACACCACACCACAGACAGCCCCCCACACCACACCACAGACAGCCCCCACACCACAGACAGCCCCCCACACCACAGACAGCCCCCACACCACAGACAGCCCCCCACACCACAGACAGCCCCCACACCACAGAGAGCCCCCACACCACACCACAGACAGCCCCCCACACCACACCACAGACAGCCCCCACACCACACCACAGACAGCCCCCACACCACAGACAGCCCCCACACCACAGACAGCCCCCACACCACAGACAGCCCCCACACCACAGACAGCCCCCCACACCACACCACAGACAGCCCCCACACCACACCACAGACAGCCCCCACACTATACCACAGACAGCCCCCCACACCACAGACAGCCCTCCACACCACACCACAGACAGCCCCCACACCACAGACAGCCCCCCACACCATACCACAGACAGCCCCCCACACCACAGACAGCCCCCACACCACACCACAGACAGCCCCCACACCACACCACAGACAGCCCCCACACCACACCACAGACAGCCCCCACACCACACCACAGACAGCCCCCCACACCACACCACAGACAGCCCCCCACACCACACCACAGACAGCCCCCACACCACAGACAGCCCCCACACCACAGACAGCCCCCACACCACACCACAGACAGCCCCCCACACCACACCACAGACAGCCCCCCACACCACAGACAGCCCCCCACACCACACCACAGAGAGCCCCCCACACCACAGACAGCACCCCACACCACAGACAGCCCCCCACACCACAGACAGCCCCCCACACCACACCACAGACAGCCCCCACACCACACCACAGACAGCCCCCCACACCACAGACAGCCCCCCACACCACAGACAGCCCCCCACACCACACCACAGACAGCCCCCCACACCACAGACAGCCCCCACACCACAGACAGCCCCCCACACCACACCACAGACAGCCCCCCACACCACAGACAGCCCCCACACCACAGACAGCCCCCCACACCACAGACAGCCCCCACACCACAGACAGCCCCCACACCACAGACAGCCCCCACACCACAGACAGCCCCCACACCACAGACAGCCCCCCACACCACAGACAGCCCCCCACACCACACCACCGACAGCCCCCACACCACAGACAGCCCCCCACACCACACCACCGACAGCCCCCACACCACAGACAGCACCCCACACCACACCACAGACAGCCCCCACACCACACCACAGACAGCCCCCACACCACACCACAGACAGCCCCCACACCACACCACAGACAGCCCCCCACACCACACCACAGAGAGCCCCCCACACCACAGACAGCCCCCACACCACAGACAGCCCCCCACACCACAGACAGCAGCACCCCACACCACAGACAGCCCCCACACCACACCACAGACAGCAGCCCACACCACACCACAGACAGCCCCCCACACCACAGACAGCCCCCCACACCACAGACAGCAGCACCCCACACCACAGACAGCCCCCACACCACAGACAGCCCCCCACACCACACCACAGACAGCCCCCCACACCACACCACAGACAGCCCCCCACACCACACCACAGACAGCCCCCCACACCACAGACAGCAGCACCCCACACCACAGACAGCCCCCACACCACAGACAGCCCCCCAGTGGCAGAGGCCAGCAGCACCACTCCCTCTCTTCCTCCTTACCGATATAATTGGAAGTCTTCTTCAGAGAAGATACTTTGTACTTTGTCCCCAAAGTATCTGTGAAAAAACAAGGCGCACCAGCGGAGGTGATGGTTTACTGGTCTCTCCTCAAGCTAACCAGCAAGTCCCTGGACACCAACCTGTCCTCACCAACTCAGAGAGTTTCCTCAAGAAGAGGCAGGGAGGGAGGGAGGGAGAGAGGAACAGGAGGAAGAGAGAGAAGGAGGGAAGGAAGGAAGAAGGGAGAGAGGGAGGGAATTCACAGCTGATGCCCTCGGGCCTACCTCCCCTCCTGTTCCCCCCACCCCTCCGCCCAGGCAGGCCACTGTTTCCTGGGAAGCCCCGTGTAGGCTGCAGACTCCTCTAAAGCTTGGGGAACACAGTCTGGCTCCTTCCTGACGAGTTTGTCCCTGACTAGGAGCCCAGAGGAGGGCCCGGCCGGTGGCTCAAAAGCTCTGTGTCCCAGACCATGCTGCCGTGGCCCCTGCACCCCAGCTTCTTACCGGTACAGATTCACAAAGTGCTTCCCAAAAGACAGAGCCCCTGAGTGCAAGTCCAGGATGGATGCCTGGAAAAGATGTTTGTCAGGGAAGAGAGTGGGTGATGGTCACTTTAAAATTTAGCCACCACCATAAAATGCCTCCCAACACTGGGCGAGCGTGGTGCACAGGGCTGTCTGAGCAGACACGTCTGCCCTTGGCCTTTGGCCGGAGGCCCGGGAGTACCCCCGGAACGGAAGGCCCTCCTCTTCCCCAGGCCCCATGGAGCTGAAGCTGTGTGGTGTGCAGGGAGACCACCCCACATCTGAGATCATAGATAGTCCCTTTATGTTGTTGTTGGCTGCGGGGCCTGAACTCTGGGCCTAGGCGCTGTCCCTCAGCTCTTCAGTTCAAGCCTGGAGCTCTACCACTTGAGCCACAGCACCTGAGCATCCCAAGTAGCTGGGATTGCAGGCGTGAGCCCCGGCGCTCAGCAGATCATAGATGTTCTTCACCCCAACCCCTTGCACCCCTCTGTGACCCTGTCCCTAACTTCCTGGCTCCTGCAGTCTGCTTTGTCCGCTTCTGTCTCTCAGACAGCTGCAGCTCCACAGACTGGAGGCTCCCCGTGACCCTTACCAGCTCCCTCCTTCCCCCATCCTGCAGTGTCTAAAATGCCCGTGGGACGGGAAGCCAGGCAGGCTGAGATGCCCCAAGGAAGTGTCTGAGGGCCCTGGGCCGTGGCAGGGACAGTGGCTGTGGCCAGGCCGAGACAGCAAAGAGGCACAGGTGCCCTCGAGGACCCTGACCCTCCAGAGAGCGCCAAGTTAGAATGTACAAAAAACCAATGGCAGTAGCCGGGCGCTGGCACTCACGCCTGTCAGCCCAGCCACTCAGGAGGCTGAGATCTGAGGATCAAGGTTCAAAGCCAGCCCGGGCAGGTAAGTCCAAGAAGCTCTTATTTCCAATAAACCACTCAGAAAACTGGAAGTAGTGCAGTGGCTCAAGTGGTAGAGTGCGTGGTAGAGCGCTGGCCTTGAGCTGAAGAGCTGAGGGACAGCACCCAGGCCCAGAGTTCAAGACCCACGACCGACCAAAAAAAGAAAAGAAAAAAAAAAAAACCCTGGGGGCAGGAGCCCCCACACTCACCCCTCCGTCAGATCCTCCCAGGGAGAGCCCCTTCTCCGCCACACTGCAGGGAAAACAGACCCTCAATCAGGACAGCAAACAGAATCCAGTAGCAAGGTAAATCCAGGCCGATTTTAGTGTTAACATTCACGATGAAAACAAAAATGACCAAAGCTTCAACTTTCAGAGCTAAGTGAGGGTACAAGATGGTGGTGTGTGTGTCCCCCCTCCCCGCCCCTCCCCGCCGGGCTCAGGGACAGCAGGCTCCCTTCCTGACATTAAGGTGGATAGAGGGCCGGGTGCTCAGGAGGCTCACAGACGGGCAGAGTCGGGGTGAGTGCTGGGGAGGAGTGCAGCCTGGGCAGGCTTCGCACGTGTGGCGTGAGGACAGTCAAGGCCACATGCGCTCTGAGCCTGATGGCCGGCCAGACAATCCTGCAAGACCTTGCTGTCAAGGTCTCAACGAGGGCTGGGAAGGTGGCTCAGTGGTAGCGCGCTTGCCTTGCATGCCTGAGGCCCTGGGTTCGATTCCTCAGCACCACATAAACAAAAAGAAAAAAGCCAGAAGTGGCACTGTGGCTCAAGTGGTAGAGCGCTAGCCTTGAGCTGAAGAGCTGAGGGACAGCGCCCAGGCCCAGAGTTCAGGCCCCACGACCGGACCAAAAAAAAAAAAAAGGAAAAGAAAAAAAGACCTCAACGAGGAAAACTGGGCGCCCAGAGCTTTCATGCGGCTGTGGAGGGCCTTGTGAGGCCGGCCGGCAGCCAGGGCCCAGGGTTCAGAGCAGATGCTGAATTATTGTCTAATGACTTTCTGCCTCAGCAGGAAAGTGGGGGTCCCTCAAGGGCTCGGGTGAATCCTTGGGAAGGAGGCCAGGCTGCTGGAACATTCCCTCAGCAATGACATCACCGCAGGCCAGGGCCTCTCCTCCAGGTGAGCAGAAAGCCTGAGCTCTGTCCTCGAGAGCCCGTGACACAATTCCGCGAAATACCTGGGAATGACTAACGCTGTCCCCTGCCCAGCCCCGTTTTCCCAGGTACCTGCGGATGCGCTCTGCCTCCTCCCTGGAGATGGCCACGTCAGTGATGCCTCTGCCACACTTCCTGGGGGTGCAGCCTGCGGGCGACGGCAGCGGGGACCGTGACCTCCACAGCCCGCCTCTCGGGACCTCGGGTGTGGGGGTGTGGCCTGGCCAGCATGCCCGGCAGATCGTGGGCCACAGCTTCCCAGAGGGGCCGTGGCCCGTGCCCATGCGGGGTGCTCATCCCCCTTACGCACCCCAGGTTTCAAGCAGCTGCTCCGTGGCTGGGCTGACCCCAGACTGGGAACCCCAGAGCCCTCGTGTGGCACCTTTGAGCACTTAGAACAGGGTCTCCCTACCCAGTGCGGACACCTGAGGGTTGATTCACCAGGCAGAACTGACATTTTTTTTCTTTTTAATTTTGCTGGTCCTGGGGCTTGAACTCTGGATGGACTTTCCTGTTTGGGCTGGCTTCAAACCATGATCCTCAGATCTCAGCCTCCTGAGCAGCTAGAATTACAGGCGTGAGGCACCAACGCCGGGCCTCACAGCATTGTTGACTGAGTGCTGGCCACTACTCTAAGCACTTATAGATACTCATCCAAAAGCCCTCCTTACCAGCCAGGCTCTTCTTGGCTGGTTTGGGGGGAGGGAGGTATTACACAAGCCAGCTGTGTTTTTGTGGTGCTGGTCCTGGGTTTGAACTCAAGGCCTGAGCTTTTTGTGTTCAAGGCTGGCATGCTACCACTGTAGCCACAGCTCCAACGGTGTGCTTAGTAATGGAGCACTTACCCAGCAGGCCCTAGGGCTGGGCTATATCCCCAGTGTTGCAAAATCAAAACAAAACATGCTCCCAAATAACTCACGGGCTAAAAAATAATGAGGCTGGTGGCTCACCCAGCTGTCATCCTAGCTACTCAGGAGGCTGAGATCTGAGGATCACAGTTTGAAGCCAGCTCAGGCAGGAAAGTCCATGAGATCCATCTCCGATGAACCAAAATGCTGCAAGTGGAGCTGTGGTTCAAGTGGTAGAGCACCAAAAAGCATGGGGATGGATGTGGAGTGCTGTCCAGGCAAGGCTTGCGCTGCGGTCAGGGAGAGGCTGGTCTGCAGGCACAGTCTCCAGGTCCTCTCCCCGGGAGCTGAGTCCGGGGCCGGCCCCCATTGCCATGGGGCGGGTTCCTGTCACCACACATTCCCACACAGTCACCACACCCCTCCAGTTCTGTCACGTCTCGGTGGGACTACCACTGGACGCCACCCTACCTGACGGTTACCAGGCTGGCCCTGAACACTGCAGGCCCAGCCCATGTGGGCTGCTCGCCTGGGGAGGGGAAAGGTCAAGCACGCCACCCCCACACCCCCGCACAGCAACCTTCAGCCCAACCCCCACCTGCAGCAAAAAGCAATGTCACATTCCGCCTGCCTGCTCCCCGCCTCGGGCCACCGCGCGGACCTGAGACCGTACCTTCGAACCTTCGGTGGCTATCGTAGTCATCGGAGCAGGGCACCTCGGTGAACCTTCCTGTCAGGACTTCACCACGGTGGGCCAGGACCTCGGCAACACTGTCGTCCGTCCCCAGATGGCTGCAGAGCAGAAGCCCGGCCAGTGCCAGGCCGGTGCCCAGGCCCAGGGCCTTCAGCCAAGGCTTCCGCACCTCCCCAGGCACCCGGTCCTTCCTGGTGCTGAGAAGAGAAGGCAGCCGCCATCAGCAGGGCTCAGCGGCCAGGGCTGAGTGCTGATGAAGACAAAGGACAGAGAAGCCCATTGCGCTCATGCTGACCTCGGGTAGGACAGGGCCTCCCACGCTCGGAGCCGCCGTGGGCACCCACCGGGGGGACAGGCCAAGAAGCGGGGGGGGGGGGGGGAGAAATGGGAGCATCGGCTTCCCCACCGCCAGCCTCGTCAGGCCCCCAGACCCCCTCCTCCGTGGAGTGGCCCCATTCTGCGTAGCCAGCAACGGGATGAGGATGAGCTGAGCGTGTGGACTCCAGGCCCCGTGCAGAGCTGATGGGATGTGCATCTCTATTCCCACTGCCTCCATTCACGCGAGTCTATGTGTGAGTCCCTGTGTGTGTGTGCAAGACTGTGCATGTGAGTCTATGTGCATGTCCCTGTGTGTGTGTCTGTGTCTATGTGCATGTCCTGTGTGTGTGTGTGTGAGTCTATGTGCATGTCCTGTGTGTGTGTGTGTGAGTCTATGTGCATGTCCTGTGTGTGTGTGTGAGTCTATGTGCATGTCCTGTGTGTGTGCATGTGAGTCTATGTGCATGTCCTGTGTGTGTGTGTGTCTATGTGCATGTCCTGTGTGTGTGCATGTGAGTCTATGTGCATGTCCTGTGTGTGTGTGTCTATGTGCATGTCCTGTGTGTGTGTGTGTGAGTCTATGTGCTTGTCCTGTGTGTGTGTGTGAGTCTATGTGGATGTCCTGTGTGTGTGTGTGTGAGTCTATGTGCATGTCCTGTGTGTGCATGTGAGTCTATGTGCATGTCCTGTGTGTGTGTGCGTGTGTGTCTATGTGCATGTCCTGTGTGTGAGTCTATGTGCATGTCCTGTGTGTGTGTGTGTCTATGTGCATGTCCTGTGTGTGTGTGTGTGTCTATGTGCATGTTCTGTGTGTGTGTGTGTGTGTCTATGTGCATGTCCTGTGTGTGTGTGAGTCTATGCGCATGTCCTGTGTGTGTGAGTCTATGTGCATGTCCTGTGTGTGTGTGTGTGCATGTGAGTCTATGTGCATGTCCTGTGTGTGTGTGAGTCTATGTGCATGTCCTGTGTGTGTGCGTGAGTCTATGTGCATGTCCTGTGTGTGTGTGTGTGAGTCTATGTGCATGTCCTGTGTGTGTGTGTGTCTATGTGCATGTCCTGTGTGTGTGCGTGTGAGTCTATGTGCATGTCCTGTGTGTGTGCGTGTGAGTCTATGTGCATGTCCTGTGTGTGTGCGTGTGAGTCTATGTGCATGTCCTGTGTGTGTGTGAGTCTATGTGCATGTCCTGTGTGTGTGTGTGTCTATGTGCATGTCCTGTGTGTGTGTGTGTGTGAGTCTATGTGCTTGTCCTGCGTGTGTGTGAGTCTATGTGCATGTCCTGTGTGTGTGTGTGTGAGTCTATGTGCATGTCCTGTGTGTGCATGTGAGTCTATGTGCATGTCCTGTGTGTGTGTGCGTGTGTGTCTATGTGCATGTCCTGTGTGTGTGTCTATGTGCATGTCCTGTGTGTGTGTGTGTCTATGTGCATGTCCTGTGTGTGTGTCTATGTGCATGTTCTGTGTGTGTGTGTCTATGTGCATGTCCTGTGTGTGTGTGTGAGTCTATGTGCATGTCCTGTGTGTGTGAGTCTATGTGCATGGCCTGTGTGTGTGTGTGTGCATGTGAGTCTATGTGCATGTCCTGTGTGTGTGTGAGTCTATGTGCATGTCCTGTGTGTGTGCGTGAGTCTATGTGCATGTCCTGTGTGTGTGTGTGTGAGTCTATGTGCATGTCCTGTGTGTGTGTGTGTCTATGTGCATGTCCTGTGTGTGTGCGTGTGAGTCTATGTGCATGTCCTGTGTGTGTGCGTGTGAGTCTATGTGCATGTCCTGTGTGTGTGCGTGTGAGTCTATGTGCATGTCCTGTGTGTGTGTGTGAGTCTATGTGCATGTCCTGTGTGTGTGTGTCTATGTGCATGTCCTGTGTGTGTGTGAGTCTATGTGCATGTCCTGTGTGTGTGTGTGAGTCTATGTGCATGTCCTGTGTGTGAGTCTATGTGCATGTCCTGTGTGTGTGTGTGTCTATGTGCATGTCCTGTGTGTGTGTGCATGTGAGTCTATGTGCATGTCCTGTGTGTGTGTGAGTCTATGTGCATGTCCTGTGTGTGCGTGTGAGTCTATGTGCATGTCCTGTGTGTGTGTGTGTGTGTATGTGCATGTCCTGTGTGTGTGCGTGTGAGTCTATGTGCATGTCCTGTGTGTGTGTGTGAGTCTATGTGCATGTCCTGTGTGTGTGAGTCTATGTGCATGTCCTGTGTGTGTGTGTGTGTGTCTATGTGCATGTCCTGTGTGTGAGTCTATGTGCATGTCCTGTGTGTGTGTGTCTATGTGCATGTCCTGTGTGTGTGTGCATGTGAGTCTATGTGCATGTCCTGTGTGTGTGTGTCTATGTGCATGTTCTGTATGTGTGTGTGTGTGTGTGTGTCTATGTGGATGTCCTGTGTGTGAGTCTATGTGCATGTCCTGTGTGTGTGTGTGTGTGTCTATGTGCATGTCCTGTGTGTGTGTGTGCATGTGAGTCTATGTGCATGTCCTGTGTGTGTGTGTGTGTGAGTCTATGTGCATGTCCTGTGTGTGCGTGTGAGTCTATGTGCATGTCCTGTGTGTGTGTGTGAGTCTATGTGCATGTCCTTTGTGTGTGTGTGTGTCTATGTGGATGTCCTGTGTGTGTGTGTGTGAGTCTATGTGCATGTCCTGTGTGTGCGTGTGAGTCTATGTGCATGTCCTGTGTGTGTGTCTATGTGCATGTCCTGTGTGTGTGTGTGAGTCTATGTGCATGTCCTGTGTGTGTGTGTGAGTCTATGTGCATGTCCTGTGTGTGTGTGAGTCTATGTGCATGTCCTGTGTGTGTGTGCATGTGAGTCTATGTGCATGTCCTGTGTGTGTGTGTGAGTCTATGTGCATGTCCTGTGTGTGTGTCTATGTGCATGTCCTGTGTGTGCATGTGTGTCTATGTGCATGTCCTGTGTGTGTGCATGTGAGTCTATGTGCATGTCCTGTGTGTGCGTGTGTGAGTCTATGTGCATGTCCTGTGTGTGTGCGTGCGGGTCTGTGTGTGTCCCTGCGTGTGTAAGCCTGTGTGTGCGTGCGGGTCTGTGTGTCACCGGGGCATCGGCGTGCTCGGTCCAGGAAAGGCTTCTTGGTCCAGAATGAAGGACAGGCGGGCGGCGGAGTCTCTGGAGGAGCACTCCGTCCTTTAAGAGCCGGGGCTCACGCTGTCAGGAGGCTGAGACCTGAGGATGGCGGTTCAAAGCCAGCCCGGGCAGGAAAGACCGTGAGACCCTTATCTCCAGTGAACCACCAGAAACCGGAAGTGGCGCAGTGGCTCTGAGCTGAAGAGCTCAGGGACGGCGCCCAGGCCGAGTTCAAGCCCCACGACCGACAAAACAACAAAAAAGCAAGAAATACAATTAACCGGGCTCCAAACGGTGGCAGCAGAACCCCAGGAAGGAAGCGGTGCGCACCAGCCTGGAGCGCGGAGCGCACGCGCAGGACACACGTGTCATTCCGGAAGAGCAGGAGCCCGTGGCCAGCGCTGGATATCCAATCCGGCCCCCCGCGGACCGCCGCCGCTGGGAGCCGCGCGGACGCGGCGCCTGGCCCCCGACCCCCGCCTCGGCCTGGCCACGCCCCCACCGGCCGTCAGGCCACGCCCTATACCCCACCCCCGCCAGACCCCGCCTCGGCCTGGCCACGCCCCCACCGGCCGTCAGGCCACACCCCGGCCAGGCCACGCCCTATACCCCACCCCCGCCAGACCCCGCCTTGGCCAGGCCCCCACCGGCCGTCAGGCCACACCCCGGCCAGGCCACGCCCTATACCCCACCCCCGCCAGACCCCGCCTTGGCCAGGCCCCCACCGACCGTCAGGCTCCGCCTCGGCTAGGCCACGCCCCACCTCCCGCCAGACCCCGCCTTGGGCTGGCCACGCCCCCACCGGCCGTCAGGCTCCGCCTCGGCTAGGCCCCGCCCCACCTCCCGCCGGCCCCGCCCGGGAAGGGCCCGGCCCCGCCGGCCCCGCCCCCGCCGGCCCCCCGCATCCGGAGCCCCGCCCTCCCGCTACCTGCTCGGCCGCCGGCGCTCCGCCGCGCCGCTTCCCTGGGCGTCCCTGGGCGCGCCCCTCCGCTGAGGCGCCATCCCGCCGGGCTGTGGCCGAGGCGGGTCGGAGGCAGGAGCAGCCGAGGCCCGGGCGAGTGCCGCGACGGGGAGCGCGAGGCCGGCGGGACGGGAGCGACGCCCTCGGCGCTCGGCTGTCGGCCTGGCTGCGGCCAGGCCGGAGCAATCGCCGGCCGATTTGCGCGGCGCGCGGGGCGGGCTCCGGGGCGGGGCCTGGCTCGTTCCTCCCGCACCTGGGCGCCCCGCGGTCTGTCCGGGCGTCGGGCTGTCCGGGCGTCGGGCTGTCTGTCCGGGCGTCAGGCTGTCCGGGCATCAGACTGTCCAGCCGGGCGTCAGGCTGTCCGTCCGTCGGGCTGTCCGGCCGGGCGTCAGGCTGGCATCAGACTGTCCGGCCGGGCGTCGGGCTGTCCGTCCGTCCGTCGGGCTGTCGGGCCGGGCGTCGGGCGGTGGCCGCGCCCCGCGGTGCGCTCCCGGCGGCTTGCGGCAGGGCCTCTGCGCAGCCCGCGCCACGCCTTCGCGCGCACGCCGGAGCTGGGCTTGAACCCGGGCCGTGGCTCAGCTGTGCGGCTCCCGGCTGGCCCTCCTCCGCGGGGCCTCGCCTCCCGGCCTCCGGGCCTGGCTGAGGGCGGCTCCCGGCCTCCGGGCCTGGCTGAGGGCGGCTCCCGGCCTCCCGGGCTGGCTGAGGGCGGCTCCCGGCCTCCCGGGCTGGCTGAGGGCGGCTCCCGGGCTGGCTGAGGGCGGCTCCCGGGCTGGCTGAGGGCGGCTCCCGGGCTGGCTGAGGGCGGCTCCCGGTCTCCCGGGCTGGCTGAGGGCGGCTCCCGGCCTCCCGGGCTGGCTGAGGGCGGCTCCCGGCCTCCGGGGCCGGCTGAGGGCGGCTCCCGGCCTCCCGGGCCGGCTGAGGGCGGCTCCCGGGCTCCCGGGCCGGCTGAGGGCGGCTCCCGGCCTCCGGGGCCGGCTGAGGGCGGCTCCCGGCCTCCGGGCCTGGCTGAGGGCGGCTCCGGTCCCCACACTCACATTAAGTCCCAGGCAGTTTTCTCTTCGCCCAGAGTCGGTTTTCTTTACATCCAAACTAAACTCTGGAGCTGTAGGATAGGCATTAATTTTAACGTTGCTCAAGGTTAAACTCGGGGTTAACTTCCTACAGAAACAGCCTTTGGATTGCGGCTCAGTGTAGAACACGTTTGCCTGGCGTGAACTTGACCCCGTGGGGGGGGGGGGCTCAGTGTAGAACACGTTTGCCTGGTGTGAACTTGACCCCGTGGGGGGGGGGCGGCTCAGTGTAGAACACGTTTGCCTGGTGTGAACTTGACCCCGTGGGGGGGGGGCGGCTCAGTGTAGAACACGTTTGCCTGGTGTGAACTTGACCCCGTGGGGGGGGGGGGCGGCTCAGTGTAGAACACGTTTGCCTGGTGTGAACTTGACCCCGTGGGGGGGGGGCGGCTCAGTGTAGAACACGTTTGCCTGGTGTGAACTTGGTCCCGTGGGGGGGGCAGCTCAGTGTAGAACACGTTTGCCTGGTGTGAACTTGACCCCGTGGGGGGGGGGGCGGCTCAGTGTAGAACACGTTTGCCTGGCGTGAACTTGACCCCGTGGGGGGGGGGGGGGGGCCGGCTCAGTGTAGAACACGTTTGGTGTGAACTTGGCCCCGTGGGGGGGGCGGCTCAGTGTAGAACACGTTTGCCTGGTGTGAACTTGGCCCCGTGGGGGGGGGGGGCGGCTCAGTGTAGAACACGTTTGCCTGGTGTGAACTTGACCCCGTGGGGGGGGGGCGGCTCAGTGTAGAACACGTTTGCCTGGTGTGAACTTGACCCCGTGGGGGGGCGGCTCAGTGTAGAACACGTTTGCCTGGTGTGAACTTGACCCCGTGGGGGGGGCAGCTCAGTGTAGAACACGTTTGCCTGGTGTGAACTTGACCCCGTGGGAGGGGGCATAGAACGAGACTTACGTTGCAGTGTTTGCTGTAGATCATTAACATCCTATAAGGAAACCAGTGCTAGTTTCAGTCCAGGGGAAAGTCACAGCGAGCCAGGTCTCTGTCTGGACGTGGAGACAGCCTTCCCTATTTGTTTTCATGTTGGCAAAATGAGTTTGCTCTTAAGTTAAAAAAGCAAGGCTGGCCCTTGTCAGAACGGAAATGAACTCTAGGGCAGAGCTCCTGGTTTTGACTCTGGTTTTCTCCACCAGGAAGAAGTCCCAGAGATTCCATTACAATTCACAATAAACACTAAAATGTCAGGCTGCACACCATTTAAGATGCGATTAGTTCATTTGGACCTTAAAGGAGCACCCCCAAAGATCTCCTACTTCTCAGAGGTAAGACTCCCTTTCATCTGTGGAGACCATCTTTTCCCTTGGGAGTTATGATTAACTGTATTTTAATAATTATATTGCAAGTCGTATCAATTATAATTATGTAAGTTCCTGTGCAATTAATATTGTGATTTTTATCAATTGTAATTTACTGTAATTACAATGAATGTTACTTGTACAAGGCATTTCATTTTGGCATATTCACATACCATGCACTGGTCAGACAACCTCTCCCTCACTCTCCCTCGCTCCTTCCCACCAATCTCAACAAACCTAGCAAGCATGAAGCCCTGAGTTCAAATCCTAGTACCTTCCCTCAAAAAACCATAGTAGAAGGCTGGGAAGGTGGCTCAGTGGTAGAGCGCTTGCCTTGCATGCCTGAGGCCCTGGGTTTGATTCCTCAGCACCACATAAGCAAAAAGAAAAAAGCCGGAAGTGGTGCTGTGGTTCAAGTGGTAGAGCACTAGCTTTGAGCTGAAGAGCTGAGGGACAGCGCCCAGGCCCAGAGTTCAGGCCCCACGACTGGACCCCCCCCCCCCAAAAAAAAACCCATAGTAGACTAAAAAAAAAACATAGTAAACTATTAAAAAGTACCCCAGCCTAAAGAAAGGTGAAAATTAGCTGAAACAAAGTTGGTAAAATGTTGGCAATGACTGGTATAATTTCTCTACATTTGTGTATGTTTGTTCAGTGTTGCACTTACAATCTGCCCCAATTAGCACACAGAGAAGCTGGAAAGGCTGGGGTGTCTCTGATGCCTGTGCCTCCGGCCTCGGCCTGTCAGATTCCCAGAGCATGTGGGGTCATCACGCAGACACAGCTGCTTAGTGCCCCGTGGGGACATGCGGAGAGCCAGGGGCAGAAGCCTGCCACAACTGTTACATTTTGTTTATCCAAATGTGGATATTGGGTTAATGACTTCTTTCCACCCAGCCTGCCTCTTCTGATTTTCAGTCATTTGTCATTAAAATGACAAATTTAATGGATTATTTAGTGAATTTATCCCAAATTGATTCTTGGGGGGCTGGGAAGGTGGCTCAGTGGTAGAGCGCTTGCCTTGCATGCATGAGGCCCTGGGTTCGACTCCTCAGCACCACATAAGTAAAAAAAGCCGGAAGTGACTCTGTGACTCAAATGTTAGAGCACTGGCCTCGAGCTCTTCAGCTCAATGACAGCTCCCAGGCCCAGAGTTCAGGCCCCACGACTAACCAAAAAAAAAATTGATTCTTGGGTTCAACATGCTCCAAAACTTCCTTGTACTTGAGGAAACAAAATGTGACTAGTAACACCAACAAAAGAATATCATTAAAAAAATAACACTGGGTACTGGTGGTTCATGCTTGTAATCCTAGTTACTTAGGAGACTGTTCAAAGCCAGCTCATCAAGAAAGTCCTTGAGACTCTTATCTCCAATTAACTACCAAAATAAAATTTAAAAAGCTGGAAGTGGAACTGTGGTTCAAGTAGTAGAGCACTAGCCTTGAGCAAAAATGGTCAGGGACAGCGCCCAGGCCTTGAGTTGAAGCTCCAGGACCAGCGCACCCACCGCGCGCGCACACACACACACACACACACACACACACACACACACACACACAGGAGAAAACAAAACATGTCCATAGCCCTTATTTGGAGATTAGTGGCTATTTTTTTTTTTGGTGGGGGGTCTGGTCATGGGGCCTGAACTCCGTGCCTGAGCACTGTCCCTCAGCTCTTCAGCTCAAGGCTAGTGCTCTACCACTTGAACCACAGTGCCACTTCCGGCTTTTTTCTTTTTGCTTATGTGGTGCTAAGGAATTGAACCCAGGGTCTCATGCATGCAAGGCAAGCGCTCTACCACTGAGCCACCTTCCCAGCCCCTTGGTGGCTATTTTAAATAACCAGAGCCCCTTCATTCATTCCAACTTTGTGTTACTTTTTAAGTCCTGGCCTTGATACCAGGCCAGAAAAAAAGTCTCAATTGTTCTGTACTGTAGAACAGACCCTAAAAATCCTTGAGGATGGTGAGATTCGTATCCTTGAACATAAGGCTAGAGGAGGGTGGAGAACAGGGGCCAGGGGCATCCCTCCGCCCTCCGCACCTCCCCGCCCGGCAGGGCCGCGTGTGGCGTCTGTGCACAGGTGTGCCTTCCCCTGCACGAGGCCCTGACTGCACTCGAGGCACCCCTCCGCTCACCCTCCAAGAGCACTAATCTGCCTTTGGCTCAAACGGTCACTTCATAACCCTTCTTGTCCCCCCAGATTTTCCCTCTGCTCCGTGCTCTAGGTGCAAATGGCCTTCTCATCGAGTACGAGGACATGTTTCCCTATGATGGCCAGCTGAGGCTGCTGCGGGCCACGCATGCATACAGGTACGGCGCCTCTTCCACGCATGCATACGGGGATGGCGCCGCTGTCCACGTATGCGTACGGGGACGGCGCCTCTTCCACGCATGCATACGGGACTGCACTTCCAGAAGTGAAAACCATGGGAAGGTGGCCCTAGAGACGAGGAGGCTGGCCGGGAGCTTAACCGTGTGGGTTCATTGGGGTTCATTGCTTCCCTGCCTTTCTAAAGGTGTGTCTGCCCAAACCCAAATGTAAGCACGTTTACTGAAGAGAGCTCAACACCAGCAGCTCCCAGCCACTGAGGGGCGGAGGTGGAGGGCCGCAGTTGGAAGCCAGTCCAGACGGGAAAGTCCATGAGACTACCTTGTTTTGGGGGGTTTTGGTTGTGGGGTTTCAACTCGTGGCCTGGGCGCTGTCCCCGAGCTCTTTTTTCCCGAGGCTAGAGCTCTACCACATTGAGGCATAGCTCCACGTCCAGTTTTTGAGTGGTTGGTTGGAGATAAGAGTCTCATGAGGGGTCTGGGAAGGTGGCTCAGTGGTAGAGGGCCTGCCTTGCATGCATGAGGCCCTGGGTTCGATTCCTCAGCATCACATAAGCAAAAAGAAAAAAGCCGGAAGTGGTGCTGTGGCTCAAGTGGTAGAGTGCTGGCCTTGAGCTGAAGAGCTGAGGGACAGCGCCCAGGCCCAGAGTTCAGGCCCCACAACTGAGAAAAAAAAAAAGTATTATGAGGATTTCTGCCCGGGCTGACTTCAAACCTTGATCCTCAGATCTCAGCCTCCTGAATAGCTAAGATTACTGGTACCCAGCTCCATGACATATCTCCAGGTAAGCACTAATAAGCCAAAATGGAGCTGTGTTTCAAGTGAGAGAGAACTAGCCTTGAGCACAAAAGCTTAGAGACAGTGCCCAGGCCCTGAGTTCATGCCCCTGGACCAGCACAAAAAGAGAGAGGGGGACAGGAAAGAGGCGGGGAGGGAGATGGGGGGGTGGGGGGGAGAGATCCACTGGGACCCCATGGGAAAGTTTCAGCCTCCCAGGTATGAAGTGTGTGGGGACAGAAGATGCCTGATGTGTGGGAGATGCCACTCGTAATAACAGGGTTTGAGCCAGGCACCAGTGGCTCATGCTACTAAGGAGGCTGAGATCTGAGGATCACAGTTCAAAGTCAGCCCAGGAAGGAAACTCCATGAGACTCTTATCTTGTAAACCACTAGAAAACTGGAAGTGGCGCTGTGGCTCAAGTGGTACAGTGCTTGCCTTGAGCTGAAGAGCTGAGGGACAGGGCCCAGGCCCAGAGTTCAAGCCCTACAACCAGCAAATCAATAAATAATAACAGGGTTTGGGTTTTAAGTCAGAGGATCAAAACAAGCAAAACTAGACATGTAGGACAGGGGTGCCCAGCCTCAATACCTGCCTGGCTCAGAAGGTCCAAAGGAAGACGCAGCGGAGGTGAGCCGGCAGGGCTGAAAAAGGTGCATGTAACCCAATATGCATGGAAAATTTTTCTCAGAGAAACTAATTACACGGTGTTATTTTGGCTAATAGATTGAAGTTTTTTTTAAGGTTTACTGCTAAGCTGAGAGTGTAGATCATTGCATGCATAGGCCTTGTGTTTCATCCCCAGCACCTAGTGAAAAGCAGCATCACTGTTTCTTTAGTTGGGTATGGTAGTACATGTCTATAATCCCAGCACTTGGGAATCTGAGGCCAAGTTTGAGGCCAACCTGAACTACATCCCAAGACCTTGTCGCAATGAAATGGTAACTCCTCTGTACACCACCTTAATAATAACAAGATTACACTTTAACAAAAAAAATGTAATGTCCGTGCCCCAAAATGGGGTGCGGCATGTGAGCGTGGCGGTGAGATGCTGGTGTGTGTGGTGTGAGTGTGGCGGTGAGATGCTGGTGTGTGTGATGTGAGTGTGGCGGTGAGATGCTGGTGTGTGTGGTGGTAGTGTGGTGGTGAGATGCTGGTGTGTGTGGTGGTAGTGTGGTGGTGAGATGCTGGTGTGTGTGGTGTGAGTGTGGTGGTAAGATGCTGGTGTGTGTGGTGTGAGTGTGGTGGTGAGATGCTGGTGTGTGTGGTGGTAGCGTGGCGGTGAGATGCTGGTGTGTGTGGTGGTAGCGTGGCGGTGAGATGCTGGTGTGTGTGGTGGTAGCGTGGCGGTGAGATGCTGGTGTGTGTGGTGGTAGCGTGGCGGTGAGATGCTGGTGTGTGTGGTGGTAGTGTGGCGGTGAGATGCTGGTGTGTGTGGTGGTAGTGTGGCGGTGAGATGCTGGTGTGTGTGGTGGTAGTGTGGCGGTGAGATGCTGGTGTGTGTGGTGGTAGTGTGGCGGTGAGATGCTGGTGTGTGTGGTGGTAGTGTGGCGGTGAGATGCTGGTGTGTGTGGTGTGAGTGTGGCGGTGAGATGCTGGTGTGTGTGGGTGAGTGTGGTGGTGAGATGCTGGTGTGTGTGGTATGAGTGTGGCGGTGAGATGCTGGTGTGTGTGGGTGAGCGTGGTGGTGAGATGCAGGTGTGTGTGGTGTGAGTGTGGTGGTGAGATGCTGGTGTGTGTGGTGTGTGGTGTGAGCATGGCGGTGAGATGCTGGTGTGTGTGGGTGAGTGTGGTGGTGAGATGCTGGTGTGTGTGGTGGTAGGGTGGTGGTGAGATGCTGGTGTGTGTGGTGGTAGTGTGGCGGTGAGATGCTGGTGTGTGGTGGTAGTGTGGTGGTGAGATGCTGGTGTGTGTGGTGGTAGCGTGGTGGTGAGATGCTGGTGTGTGGTGTGAGTGTGGTGGTGAGATGCTGGTGTGTGTGGTGGTAGCGTGGTGGTGAGATGCTGGTGTGTGTGGTGTGTGGTGTGAGCGTGGTGGTGAGATGCTGGTGTGTGTGGGTGAGTGTGGTGGTGAGATGCTGGTGTGTGTGGGTGAGTGTGGTGGTGAGATGCTGGTGTGTGTGGTGGTAGCGTGGTGGTGAGATGCTGGTGTGTGGTGTGAGTGTGGTGGTAAGATGCTGGTGTGTGTGGTGGTAGCGTGGTGGTGAGATGCTGGTGTGTGTGGTGTGTGGTGTGAGCGTGGTGGTGAGATGCTGGTGTGTGTGGTGGTAGCGTGGTGGTGAGATGCTGGTGTGTGTGGTGTGAGCGTGGTGGTGAGATGCTGGTGTGTGTGGTGGTAGTGTGGTGGTGAGATGCTGGTGTGTGTGGTAGCGTGGTGGTGAGATGCTGGTGTGTGTGGTGGTAGTGTGGTGGTGAGATGCTGGTTTGTGTGGTGTGAGCGTGGTGGTGAGATGCTGGTGTGTGTGGTGGTAGTGTGGTGGTGAGATGCTGGTTTGTGTGGTGTGAGCGTGGCGGTGAGATGCTGGTGTGTGTGGTGTGAGTGTGGCGGTGAGATGCTGGTGTGTGTGGTGTGAGTGTGGCGGTGAGATGCTGGTGTGTGTGGTGTGAGTGTGGCGGTGAGATGCTGGTGTGTGGTGTGAGCGTGGTGGTGAGATGCTTGTGGTTTGTATGTCCTTTGTGTTGTGGTTTTTTTCCTACAGTAATGTTCTTTATGTCTCAAAGTGAAAACGTACCATAGTTTCTTTGGAGCTGGCAACAGGTTTACATAGAGCAAAAAGAACCTTCTATGATTAAAATCCATAGACATAGTTGAAATACATGCAAAAACTAGAAATGGTTTTCTTTTTTTTGTTGGTCATGGGGCTTGAACTCTGGGCCTGGGTGCTGTCCCTCAGCTCTTCAGCTCAAGGCGAGCGCTCTATCACTTGAGCCACAGCACCACTTCCAGCTTTCTGGTGTTTTTTGGAGATAAGAGTCTCACAGACTTTACTGCCTGGGCTGGCTTTGAACCACAACCCTCAGACCTCAGCCTCCTGAGTAGCTGGGATGACAGGTGTGAGCTGCTGGCTCCCCGGCATGGTTTTCTTTTCTGAGATAAACCCATGGAGAAGTCATGATGACCTCTGTGGTGGATGAATCAGTAGGCTGGGCAGGAGCCCTTGCACAGAGTGACCCCTGAGAACAGGCTCTCGGCCTTAAGGGCTCACGGTTAGGTTGAAGGCTGTGCAAAAACAAAGGCAGGGGGTGAATTTCCCTGGAGCTGGTCTGCTAGTGCTTTTCAGGGTAATCGTGTGCAGCCAGGCTTCATGTAAAAACTCTACCTTCCTGTCCAGGTTGCCGAGGGTCTGGTGACAGTGCTGTCACTATCTCCACTGCCTCCTGGATCCAGGGTTGGCTGGGAGGGCTCGGGAACAGAGGCACGGTGCTGGCCTCTGCATGCTCGCTGAAGGCTTTGTCTTGCAGCCCCTCTGAAGTGGCAGAGCTCCTACGCCTGGCCAGATGCAGCGAGCTGGAGGTCATTCCCCTGGTACAGACATTTGGACACATGGAGGTGAGTGGCAAGGCTAGAACTTACTTGACACCAAAAACATGGTCTGGCCCCAGGCCTGTGCCAGGGTTGGGGAGCACAGACACAATACTGCATTCGGGGGTTTGTCCTGTGAATGGCCGCAGAGCACACAATCCCAGGGCAGAGTAGCCCTGCCTGGGAGCAGAGAGCAGCCTTCCGTTTTCTGCCCCCCCATCCCCCCACCATTAATATCTGAAAATACTCATGGCCAGGCGCCAGTGGCTCACACCTGTCTAATCCTAGCTACTCAGGAGACTGATATCTGAGGATCAAGGTTCCAAGCCATGCCAGACAGGAGAGTCCATGAGACTCTTACCTCCAATGAACCACCAAAAAGCCTGAAGTGGAGTTGTGGCTCAAGTGGTGCAGTGCTAGCCTTCAGCAAAAGAAAGCTCAGGGATGGAACGCTGGTTCTGAGTTCAAGCTCTAGGGCTGGCACAAAAAGAAAAACTAAAGGTTTCACAATGTGATTGATTACCAGAGCCCTAAGATGGCTGCTCCTTTGTGCACATGACCCCGAGTGGATTCTTTCAAGGACCGAATTTGCTCATGTGTGTGATTGTCCGGGGGAGGATCCCCGTGTGTGTGTGTGTGTGTGTGTGTGTGCCTGTGTGTATGCGTGTGCATGTGTGTGTGCGCGTGTGTGCGTGCGTGTGTCTGTGTGTGCGTGCGCGTGTGCCTGTGGAGATCTGCCCCTGTGTACACCCGCAGAGGCAGGCCTCTGCCCATGTCTGCATCTGCAGAGGACTGCTGGCCTCTTCACACTGAGCCAAGCCACCCGCCGGCTCTGCCTCTTTCCCCTGCTTCTGTTACTCAGCTCAGTTAGAAAACTGGGGGTCAGCCTGCTGCCAGGGGACCGCTGCCTGGCGGGGCCCTGAGCTGTGCCGGGGCCACCCTCCTGGAGATGGGAGCGTGAGCCGTGCAGGTCACGGGCCTGGGCGCTGAGCACAAAGCCCTGTGTGGCCGGAGCCTGGAGCCTGGCCCAGGCCTGGGCTGGTGGCCCGGGCAACAGCTCCCCACTGCCCTCCGTCTCCCCACAGTTTGTGCTGAAGCACGCGGCATTTGCTCACCTCCGAGAAGTCGCCTGTTTCCCCAACACTCTGAACCCTCATGAGGCCGAGTCCCTGGCGCTGGTGGGGGCCATGGCTGACCAGGTTCTAGAGCTGCACAGGGATGCACGCTGGCTGCACATCGGGTGTGACGAGGTGAGTGTGCCGGCCGCGGCATCGCCTCCGGGACTCGGCTGCTTCTCCGTGGGCTCTGCTGTTCTTTTGGCTTGGTTTTGTTTGCTTTTTCTTTTTCTGTTTTTTCTGGTATTGGGTTTTGAACACAGGGCCTTGCACTGGCTAGACTGGAGCTCTACCACCTGAACCCTCCAGCCCTGCTTTTTGCTGATATTTGGAGATGAAGTCTGACTTCAAAATTCAATTCTTCAGATCTCGGTCTCCTGAAGCTAGAATTTATAGGCCTTAGCCAATGGCACCCGACTTGGTTCCTTTTAATAGAAAAATAATACAATTCTTAGCTGCGCGCTAGTGGCTCATTCCTGTAATCCCAGCTACTCAGGAAGCTGAGATCTGAGGATCACGGTTCAAAGCCAGCCCCAGCAGGAAAGTCTGTGAAACTCTTATCTCCAATAAACTGCCAGAAAACCAGAAGTGGCGTAGTAGCTCAAGTGGTAGAGCGCTAGCCTTGAGCTGAAGAGCTGAGGAACAGCGCCCAGGCCCAGAGTTCAAGCCCCACGACCGACCAAAAAAAAAAAGTCTCACAGACTTTCTTGCCTGGGCTGGCTTTGAACTGTGATCCTCAGATCTCAGCCTCCTGAGTAGCTAGGATTATAGGCGTGATCCGCCAGCGCCCTGCTCTATGAGACTCTTATCTCCAGTTAACCACCAAAAAGCTAGAAACAGAGCTGTGGCTCAAGTGGTAGAATGCCAGCCTTGAGCAAAGAATTCAGATACAGCTGGGCGCCAGTGGCTCACGCCTATAATCCTAGCTACTCAGGAGGCCGAGATCTGTAGATCACTGTTGGAAGCCAGCCTTAGCAGGAAAGTCCAAAAGACTCTTATCTCTAACCACCAGAAAACTGGAAGTGGCGCTGTGGCTCAAGTGGTAGAACATTTGTCTTGAGCAAAAGAGCTCAGAGACAGAGCCCAAGCCCAGAGTTCAAGCCCCGTGACTGACCCCCTCCTCCCAAAAAGATTCAGGCCCTGAGTTCAAGCCCAGGTCCAACACGCGCGCACACACACAGACACACACGAGTGCACACATGTATTTGTGCTCCTGCTTCAGCATGCTCAGAACCGTCACAATCCTGTGAACAGGATCAGTTCATCACTCCAAAATGAGACCCCTCACACCTCCCTCCCGCCCCTGGCAGCCTCTGACTTGTTTCTGCTTTAATGGCTTACCTGGCCTGGCATGGTTGTCAGTGGAGGGCATGCTGTGTGGCCTTGTGTGCCTGGCTGCTTCCCAGATCATGTATCCAGACCAAGACTCCTCCGTGCCGTGGACGCGTCAGGGGTGGGAGTGGACGGGGAGGTTCTGCTTCCCAGTGATTGGAGCAGAGATGTTCTGAACCCAAGGGGCTCCTAGGGAAGCTGAGCATCGTCCTGCAAGACACTAGCAAGACCGAGTCTCCCAGGCCCACACAAACGGCCTCCCAGGACTGAGCCCCCCCCCCCCCCCCAACGGCCTCCCAGGACTGAGCCCTCCCCTCAACGGCCTCCCAGGACTGAGCCCTCCCCACACACAAACAGCCTCCCAGGACTGAGCCCCCCCCCCCCAACGGCCTCCCAGGACTGAGCCCTCCCTCCAACGGCCTCCCAGGACTGAGGCCTCTCCCAACGGCCTCCCAGGATTGAGCCCCCCCACACACAAACAGCCTCCCAGGACTGAGGCCCCTCCCAACGGCCTCCCAGGATTGAGCCCCCCCCACACAAACAGCCTCCCAGGACTGAGCCCCCCCCCCAACGGCCTCCCAGGACTGAGCCACCCCAACGGCCTCCCAGGACTGAGCCCTCCCCCACACAAACAGCCTCCCAGGACTGAGCCCCCCCCCCAACGGCCTCCCAGGATTGAGCCCCCCGCCCCACGGCCTCCCAGGACTGAGCCCTCCCCCCAACAGCCTCCCAGGACTGAGGCCCCTCCCACACACAAACAGCCTCCCAGGACTGAGCCCCCCCCAACGGCCTCCCAGGACTGAGGCCCCCACCCCCCCTGCGTCCCCAAACGGCCTTCCAGGACTGAGCCCCCCACCCAATGGCCTTCCAGGACTGAGGCCCCCCCCCCCGCGTCCCCAAATGGCCTCCCAGGACTGAGCCCCCCCCCCCCCACAAACAGCCTCCCAGGACTGAGCCCCCCCAACGGCCTTCTAGGACTGAGGCCCCCACCCCCCCTGTGTCCCCACACAGCCTCCCAGGACTGAGCCCCCCCCCCAATGGCCTCCCAGAACTGAGGCTGCCCCCCCACAAACAGCCTCCCAGGACTGAGCCCCCTCCCCCCACAGGACTCGGGACACACCTGGGACCCGGCAAGTGGAGCATGGCACAGGTTCCAGCCCACCCGTCTTCCCCCAGGTCTACTGCCTGGGCGAGGGGGAGGCCTCCAGGCAGTGGCTGCAGCCGTGTGCAGCGTGGCACGGGTTCCAGCCCCCACCCCCTTCTCTCCCCAGGTCTACTGCCTGGGCGAGGGGGAGGCCTCCAGGCAGTGGCTGCAGCCGTGTGCAGCGTGGCACGGGTTCCAGCCCCCACCCCCTTCTCTCCCCAGGTCTACTGCCTGGGCGAGGGGGAGGCCTCCAGGCAGTGGCTGCAGCAGAGGCAGAACAGCCCCGAGCAGCTGTGTCTGTCGCACATGCGGGCCGTGGCCAGCCACGTGCAAGCGCGGCACCCTGGCACCACGGCCCTGGTGTGGGATGACATGCTGCGGGACATGCCTCAGGACCAGCTGGCAGGTAGGCGGGGCCTGCGAGGGCAGGGCTGGGGGCTTCCCTCCAGAACCCCAGGTGGCAGCGGTGCCTCTGGCCTCGCGGGGCCTGTGGGGGTGGGCTGTGAGCGGATACGGGAGTGTGGGAGCACACAGGAAACGCGGGTGTTTCCCCTACCTCTGGCAGACTCCGCCCCGCGTGCCTCCGGGCTCGTCTGGGCATGGGCAGAGGGCAGCTGTGTGGTAGGGGACAGTGGTGGCCAGTGCCACCCAGGCCCTAGGCCCAGGTCCCCAGGAAAAGCTTGGGGAGCAGGGATGAGAGCCTTCCCCAGTCCGGAGGCTGCAGGAAGCACTGGGACCAGCACGGGGGCCTGGGGCCCAGGGGCACTGTCTTCCAGGCAGTGTCTTGCAGACTGATGAACTAGAATGCACTCCAGGTAGATGAGCTCTGGGAGCCCAAATGGAGCAGATGCTTCAGGAGATCCTAGAGCCCAGCCCCTTCCAAAACATTGTTCCCGGCCGGCCATGGCGCTCATCCAACGCAGCCCAGCACTGAGCCTGTATGGGGGACCGTGTGACCTGAGAAGGTGGCCTGCGTCAATGCTAAGAGCCATTGGGACCAGGCGGAGGCCAAGGTGGAGGGGCCTTGGCGTAGGCTCTGGGCAGCCTGGGCTGCTTGCCAAACTCTGTCTCAGAAATAAGTTAGAAGCCAGGTGCTAGAGGCTCACACCTGTGATCCCAGCTACGCAGGAGGCTGCTCAGGCAAGAAAGTTCATGAGGCCTCCAATTAACCACCTAAACTGGAAGCAAAACTGTGGCTCAAAATGGTAGAGCACTAGCCTTGAACAAAAACACTCAGGGACAGAGCCCGGGCCCTGTATTCAAGCCCCAGGAACAACAGACATATGTACATACATACTAAAAATAAATTAGAAAGTCGGACACCAGTGGCTAGCTCCTCAGCAGGCTGAGATTTGAGGACCATGGTTCAAGGTCAGCCTAGGAAAGAAAGTCATTGAGACTCCGATCTCCAGTAAACCACCGAAAAGCCAGAAGTGGAGCTGTAGATCAAGCAGTAGGAAAAAAAAAAAACTACAACTAAAGGACAGTGAAACTAAAGGACAAGTGTCCAGGCCGAGTTTAAGCCCTAATGCCAGTCTACAAAACTAAACGAGAGATACAAGCGGGATCCAGGAGCTGGGCCAGCTTCACGGCGCGCACGGTCCCGTCGGCCCTGCTCACAGCCTTATTCTGTTCTAGCCTCTGGAGTGCCGCAGCTGGTGGAGCCTGTGCTCTGGGACTACGGGGCTGACCTGGATGTCCACGGCAAGGGTCAGTACAGGTCGTCCAGATTTGCCCTTCAAGGCCCACGTGGCTGGTAGGCTGTCTCCCAGCCTGGGCCTGCGCTGGGCTGGCCAGCAGGACTTAGTTAAGCCAGGGACAGCCCCCTGGCCTGAGCTGCCCTGCCCCTCCCACAGCGGGAAGCCCCCACCACCCTGGACCTGGGCAGCCCCGGGGACGCCACGCCGGCCCCGGGCGGCCCCGGGACGCCACGCCAGCCCTGGGCAGAATGTGTGCTTGCCTCACAGTTCTGCCAGGCATGTAAATGGCAGAGTCTCCTGGGCTGGGTGTGGGCCAGGCAGGGGAGGGGGACAGAGACTGCCCCAGGGGTCAGAGCTCACGTGCCCAGTGTGTGGCTGGCCGTGTCCTCGGGAGACTCACTTGCTTACCTTCCTGTCCAGTGCTTCTCATGGAAAAGTACCGGGAATGCGGCTTCTCACGGCTGTGGGCAGCCAGCGCCTTCAAAGGGGCCACGGGGCCCAGCCAGGCCCTGCCGCCGGTGGAGCACCACCTCCGGAACCACGAGCAGTGGCTGCGGGTGGCCAGCAGCGGGCCCGCGGACATGCTGCAGGGCATCGTCCTGACCGGCTGGCAGAGGTGAGCTCGGGGAGGACGGGGGCTGCCCTCCTGCCTGCCCCATGCCGACCTCCCTGTGAGGAGAGCGCGGCTCTGGGTGCTGCCTGCAGCTCCACCTGCCTGTGTGCTCCACGCTCCAGGCTGGTGCCTCGCGTACCTCCGCAGGCCACTGGCAGATCTGAGCTCTTGTTGGTTATTACACCCTTTGTGAAGCAGAGCTACACAGCCCTACGTCTGTACTCGCGTCTGGTTTCTGGCTCCCCCTGTCCAGCAGCTCCAGAGCCCTGTGGGAAGGAACCCTTCGGGGGCTACCAGGGTCTCCCAAGATGGGGCGGAGGGGCTGGGCCCTCGGGGCTGCCTGCGTCCGGTGAACCCAGCCGCCCTTGTAGACCAGATGGTGGGATTTTGTGAAGGGTGTGGCAGTGCTTCAGTGATGCCACTGTCCGCCACACCTGATCACCCCGCTTGCTCCTCTTTTTCAAACCCAGTACTGGGTTTTGAACTTGGCTTCATGCTTTTGCTTGACTTGCTCATAGTTGGTACTCTACCAGTTGAGCTGTACCTCTAGCCTGGCTTTTGGCTGGTTATTTTGGAGATGGAGTCTAGTGGACCTTTCTATCTAGGTTGGCTTTGATTTGCAGTCCTCCAAATCTTAGCTTCCTGAGTAGCTAGGATTAGGCATGAGCCACTGGTGCCCAGCTTCCATTTGTTCTTAGAGTTGGGGGGAGTGAGGTCCGGGCGGGGGTAGGTGCCCAGACTCCCACCCTGACCTGCTCTTCCTGAGGCCTTAGGGGAGAATGTGAGGCTGTGGACAGCGGGGACAGGCCTAGGAAAGGGTGCCAGGGTTGAGGCAGGAGGCAGGGTGTGGCAGGAGAGCGAGGTGACGCTGCACAGACACTTGGCCCAGGAGATGCCCGTGATGAGGGCCAGGCCAGGCCCGATGGCGCTGACAGCACCTGAGCCCCCGGCCCAGGACACGGGATGGCCCAGGAACTGAAAACCCCTCTTGCACCACAGATACGACCACTTCTCCGTGCTGTGCGAGCTGCTTCCCGTGGCGATCCCGTCCCTGGCTGCCTGTCTGCAGTTGCTTCTACATGGTAGGCAGATCCCCAGGGCCCCGCTCCGGCCCCGGCCGTCTGACACAAGCTGTTCTGTGCAATCAAGCACACGAGCCCAGCCACTGTGCTCACCTGCCATTGGCCAGGCCTGCCCATACCCAGGTCCTCTAGTATAAGTCCTGGGTAGGCCAAGAAGCCAGGGTCTGCCCCTCCGCCTTGGTGGACCCAGATTCAGCCTGGGGTGGAGGTGCTGCATAGTTGCCCTGTGAGAGACGGGTCCCAGGGGACCTGGAGGCCCTCGGCCCGGGGTTCCTCATCCAGACGCCCGGCAGAGCAGCCCCTGCCTCCTGCAGACTGGCACTGGGGCCGCTCAAGGCCAGTGTTGGTAAAAGGAGTCATGTCCATTCAACCCACAAGGCCGTACGGTATCCCCAGTGAAGTGTTTGTCGGTGGGAGAGGATGCTGAGAGAGGGTAGAGCACGGGGGGCTGGGTGAGCAGACGTGGACGACCTGTCCACACGGGGGAGGACAGCCCCCGTCCGCGCGCGGAGAGGCTGCCGAGAGCCCCGCCTTACCTCCTAGTCCGTCGGAGGTACGGCTGCCCTGCTCCCTCAGTCCTACCACATGCTTCAGGTGGTCTAGAATGTTCCACTGCCGAGTGAAGCTTGGAAGCAGCGTGTATATGAGCCAGAGACCTGCAGGATCACGGACAGGGCTGGTGGAGGTGGTCCTGTAATGAATGCCACACAGGGCTGGTCCACCCAAGGCCTCCCTGGGATCAGGACCCAGGTCTGGGCCTGTCTGAGGCGGCCCACACTGCTGGGACGGCTGCCCAGGGAGCCCTGGGGGGCTCGGCAGGGCGGGGCGGGGCCGCTCCCCTCCCGCAGCCTCCTCCAGCAGCTCCCCTGTGGTTGCTTCAGGGAGCTTCACTGAAGAGGTTAAGCAGTCAGTGGAGAACTTCCTTGGAGTTCCCAGCCTGGAGATAACGGCTGTGAGGTACTCGCCCCCCCCCCGCCCCGCCTCCTCCCCTCCAGCACCCCTCCTCACCCCCCAGCCCTCCTCCTCATCCCCCAGCCCCCAGGACCTGGGCGCTCTGCCAGAGCTTCTTTTGCTCAAGGCTAGCACTCTACCACTTGAGCCCAGCGCTGCTCCTGGCTTTTTCTGTGGTGCTGAGGAATGGAACCAGGGCTTGATGCATGCTAGGCGAGCACTCTACCACGGAGCCTCCTTCCCAGCCTAAGGACCACAGTTCTTACCGAGGCTCTCTGGCAGTGAGGGAGCTGGCTCCTTCCCAGGCAGCCACATCCACGCCCTGGTCACACAAGTCAGCCTCCACCTGCGCAGCTCTGTGGACGCACTGCTGGAGAGGAACAGGTGAGCAGCCCACCCCCCAGGCCCGCGGTGGTTCTGTGGGGAGCGTCACTGTGAAACCTCACCGGATCCCTTGGAGGGCCCGCCCCCCGTCCCAGCGTGGTTCTGTGGGGAGCGTCACTGTGAAACCTCACCGGATCCCTTGGAGGGCCCGCCCCCCGTCCCAGCGTGGTTCTGTGGGGAGCGTCACTGTGAAACCTCACCGGATCCCTTGGAGGCCCCGCCCCCCGTCCCAGCGTGGTTCTGTGGGGAGCGTCACTGTGAAACCTCACCGGATCCCTTGGAGGGCCCGCCCCCGGTCCCAGCGTGGTTCTGAGGAGCGTCACTGTGAACCTCCACCCAGGACGCCCCGTAGCCTGGAGGCTCCTGGCCCACAAGCACCCGTCTGGGTTTGCTCCAGGTACGTCACTGGCTGGTTCAGCCCCTACCATCGCAGACGAAAGCGTGTCCACCCTGTCATGGTCCAGCACATACAGCCAGAGGCCCTCAGGTAACCACCCTGCCCTGCCCAGCTTGTGCCCAGCCCCTGGGGCAGCCTGTCTCCTCAAAGTGGAACCTCCTGATAGCGCTGAGCTTCCCAGGTGTGACAGCCGGGGATCTCAGATGAGTCAGACATGCCACTGGTCACCAAGGTGGGCCTTCATGTTGGCAAGAAGCTAGGTCATTCCCAGCCTGAGACGGGGCATCTTCCGTATGCCAGGAAGCCCAGGGAGTGTTTGGAATCAGACTACCTGGAGGACCCCAGACAAGAGCCCTTGTGGCAAGAGTTCCTGGCAGCCCTCCCTGTCCTGGCGTGGACCCATTCGTATGCCAAGAAACACTGCCAGCCAGCCGTGGGACACGTTGACCAGTTTGCCTGCTCAGTGGTCCCAGAGCAGTGCAGACCTGATGTGTGGGCAGGGCACAGCGCCAGCTGTCCAGGAGTCCTGGGCAGGTGGACTCAGAGCCACTGCTGTCCCCAGCCTCCTGGGCAGGTGGCACACTCTCGTGCAGCAGCTGGAGGCGGCCCTGCAACTGGCCTTTTACCCTGATGCCGTGGAGGAGTGGCTGGAGGAGAATGTGCACCCCAGCATGCAGCGGCTGCAGAGTCTGCTGCAGGACCTCCATGAAGCAGCCGTGCCCCAGCCCTTGCCCAACAGCCCCGTCGGGGGTCCAAGTCAGGACCCTTGAGGGCCTCCTGGCACGGGCTGGGCCTGGGCTACCATCCCGGGCAGTACTGGGCTGAAATGGCCTCCCTCCCCCCAGGAACGCTTCCTGCTGAGTGTCAGGCCGCTGCGGCCAGCTACTCCGCAGAGCAAGCAGGACCTTTGGAGAAGGCAGCAGACACGGAAGAAGGCACACGGGGGCCTGCTAAAAATCTGCACGTTGAGCTTTATTCTAAAATTAAAGACAAGCAGTATTCCACAGAAAGGCTTTTTACCAGGGCCCTGCCATGCAGGGCTTCACGCCTCCAGAACCCACTCCCCGCCCTGGGGGCAGCGCGGGGGCGGGGGCTGACAGTGCCCAGCACCTGACCAGCCACTGAACCACACATGGTTTTAGGAAGGAAAGAACTGGCTGGTTTTGGTCCAGGGCGGTGGCAGCTGCATCCCAGGGCAGGACGCTGTGTTCACCCAGGCACCATCTCAGGGCAGCCATGGCCCCTGGGTCCGGGTGGGTCTAGTTCTACCCGGCCATGCTAGGATAGAAGCTTCCTGAGGCCGGCCAGGGACTGCAGCTCTCAGGATGCAGGTTGTACCGCAGAGGGTCCAGGAGTAGACAGTGCGCTAAAGCTGGGTATACTGCTTTGAAGACAGGATGTCACCATGCAAACCAGGAGCTCTGGATCTCAGCCCCCAGTGCTAGGATCACAGGCATGTACCACGCTGCCCCATCATTCCCAAGACTTGCTTTCTGCACAAGAGCTCCCGTCTATGGGTGTCATTCATTCAGGTGGGGCTGGGGGGCTTCTACAGCCCACAACCACCCACAGTCCAGGCACCCCGAAGGAGCCATCTATGCAGTTAGCACATCCGTGTCCCTAGCATGGGGGACATCCTTGGGGAGAAGCCGCCTCTGAAACACTGTGTCCAGCAGGAAAGCCCACTGAGGACGTCCACCCAGGACATCCAAAGATTTCCACTGACCATATGGACTTATCCAGAGCCCCCCACAAATGCAGGCGCCCTGTTCTATCTGCAGCTAGACCCTCAGCACAGCAAGTCCAGGTACCATGCTCCATGGGTGGCTCCTCGCTCTGTTCTGGCTGTACTATGTGCATCTGGGTCATGGAGGAGGTGCAGCCTACAGTGTATCCCGGGTGATGGAGGAAGTCCAGCCCATAGTGTATCCCAGGTGATGGAGGAAGTCCAGCCCACAGTGTATCCCAGGTGATGGAGGAAGTCCAGCCCAGTGTATCCCGGGTGATGAAGGAAGTCCAGCCTACAGTGTATCCCCAGTGGTGGAGAAAGTCCAGCCCACAGTGCATCCTGAACCATGACATGCCAGGCCTGCCTGGGCCATGGAGATCTAGTCCGGACTTGTGCTCAGAATCGAGGCAGCAGGCAGTATGAATAGGCAAGAGGCAGGGAGTTGCCCAGGGCGGCCTAGGGATACATCAGCTCTGCCCGCAGCCCGTGGCGGGTCAGTCAGCAATGACTGCCCAACTGTCAGCTCTGGCTGCTGGGGCCATCAGCCTCGCTGTCGCTACTCTGAGACCGCTCTGAGGGGCTTTCCAGCCGGTGCAGCTCCAGGAAGCCGGTGATGAGCCTGGCAATGGCTTCTACATCGCTGGAGGCAAACACCAGGAGGGAGGTCACCTTGGCACAGGGCAGCCCCCTCCCATCTGGGCCCCTTATTCCAGTGCCCGTCACCTGACCCCAGTCCACACCGATGCTTCCCTGTGGGGACTGTGCACAGCTGCCCGAGCCCGCACCGTCCTCTAACTCCTCATGTTCTGCACACATGTGGCCTCTCCCCAATGCCCTAAGACACTGAGGGGTCAGCCGGCAGTGCGGGTCAGCCGGCAGTGAGTGTCAGCCAGTAGTGCAGTGTCAGCCGGCAGTGTGTGTCAGCCCACAGTGTTAACTGGCAGTGAGTGTCAGCCTGCAGTGCGGGTCAGCTGGCAGTGTCAGCCGGCAGTGAGTGTCAGCCGGCAGTGTGAGTCAGCCGACAGTGTCAGCCGGCAGTGTCAGCCGACAGTGTCAGCCGGCAGTGTCAGCCAGCAGTGTCAGCCGACAGTGAGTGTCAGCCAGCAGTGTCAGCCGACAGTGAGTGTCAGCTGGCAGTGCGGGTCACCTGTCATCCTGCTGGGGATGGGGGTGGGGAGGGACTGCTAGCCTTACCTACGGTGGCCCAGGACCGCGGACTGGGTGAGGGGGTGGGAAAAGCCTGTGGCAAACCGGAGCACCACCATGTAGCCCTTCCCAAAGTACCGGACCTTCTCCTCCTCCACGTTCACGTCACGGATGTCCTTCAGCTGAACCACCACTGGGGCAGGGGCACAGGTCAGAGGCCATGCCCCTCTGCCCCACCACCCCCACTGCAGGACAGCAACCCCAAGGCCTCGGCTCCCCTAGCAGTCACAGCACTGCGAGCTCCAGCCTGAGCTGCGGCGGGAGTCTTGTGGTGAGGAGTCCGTGCTCACAGACCACGCCCTGCAGAAGCTGCCCCCCCAGAGCAGCCCACCTCAGGACCCACCAAGCCTCCACCGCGGTAGCCATCCACACTGCACTTTCACTCCACCAGAGTGGTGTGTGCATCACAGACGCCACAGACCCCACAGGGCAATGCACCGCACGCTAACCCGTGGCCGAGCCAGCCCCAGGGTGTGGTGTCCTCTGATCGTCCAGCCCCTAAATGCAGGCCCGGCAAAACCAACCAGGGACAGAGCACTGGTGAGTCATTTGCTGGGTGGTGCAGTGCAGCCTGCCTGGCACCACAACCTACCCCAGCGGCCCGACCTGGAAGGGCTGCCAGGGATCCTCAGCTAAGCCCCCAGAGAACACAGCACATGGGGTGCCAGCCTGGACCCACACCGCCTCCAGGCTTTCAAGGCCAGCACAGCACCCCAACTTCCCACAGCTCACCTTGGTCCTGGCCTGCTCTGAGGAGGGTCAGCAGCTTTTGGTACAGGCTGAACGTTTTCAAGATGACTTTACCAGTGCTCTTGTTAAAGATGGCTTCCTGCAAACCAACGTACACTGACCACGCACACCTGGGCCCCGGGGTCTCATTCCCACCCGGCCTGCACCAGACAGTGAACAGGGGACTCAGACCCTGGCCCCAAAGCCCCCAGAGCTCTCCACAGAGCCCACATCTATGCCTGAGCCCTGGGCGGGCTCTGGGCATTAGGGTGGGCAAGTGCATCAGAACTGAGCCAGCAGTGAGGCTACCAAGTGAAAAAGAAGGTGAGGCAGCTGCAGGGACTCTGGGACAGCGGGGGGTGGGGGGTGGGGGCTGCCCCCGGCAAAGGCAAGGGCGGAGGCCAGCTAAAAGACACGGCCTAGCTCAGGCAGTCATCTGACCAACCGACCAGCCGGGAGGACCTGTCAACTCAGCGGGGAGGACCTGTCAGCTCAGCGGGGAGGACCTGTCAGCTCAGCGGGGAGGACCTGTCAGCTCAGCGGGGAGGACCTGTCAGCTCAGCGGGGAGGACCTGTCAGCTCAGCGGGGAGGACCTGTCAGCTCAGCGGGGAGGACCTGTCAGCAGCTCTCACCTCCCAGTCCTCCAGGTTCTGCACAGCTACAAACAGGCAGCCTGTGACATAGAAGAGCTTCCATCCCAGACTATCTGCAAACAGACACAGGATGTGAGCTGGGAGTGACAGGGCGAGGCAGCAAGCCCACGGGAGGCCTGTCCAGCACACTTGTGCCCAGGGCATGGAGGCCAGAAGCCTGGCTGACCCTGGCTCCCAGCGCTCAGCTATGCCCCTGGCCTGGCCACTCTGCCAGCTCTGCCTGGGAGTCCACTGGGCTGGACAGGAGAGCCCTCCCTGTGCGGGGCACCAGGTAAATGCTTGAGGGCCCTTTTCCAAAATTATTTCGTGACCTAGGGTATGCACAGCCTTAAGATGTGAGCGGCAGGTTGTGGGGTGGGTGCTCTAGTGCAAGGTGAGCGGACAAACCAGCCACACCAGAGGCCACACTGTAACTGCTCCCGGGCCACTGCTTCCCCTGCTTCCCCTGGTCTCTAAACACCTGAAATGGAGGGGGGGGGGGTTACCTCCACTGTAGTAGGCTGCCGCAAGGCCCGTGGATAAGATTCCTGCGGGGAGAGATGGAGCTCTTGGCTGGGGGTTCCAGGGAGCCCCCAGTGCACCCCCCCACAGGCTGGCTGGAGAAATGGCCACCAAGCTCATCCAGAGCCAGGCACAGCATTCACCAGGCAAGTTTGGAGCTGATCCGGAAACGGGTCTGATGTGGGTATCACCAGGAGGTAATGTGGTACCCAAAAAATTACCACAAGCCGGGCACCGGTGGCTCGCGCCTGTCATCCCGGCTTCTCAGGAGGCTGAGATCTGAGGATCGCGGTTCAAAGCCCGCCTGGGCGGGAAAGGCCGTGAGACTCTCATCGCCAATACCCACCAGAAAACGGAAGCGGCGCTGCGGCTCAAGCGGTCGAGCGCTCGCCTTGAGCTGGGGGCCGGACCTGACCGTGTCACAGGCTGCTGACGGCTCAGCCGGGCCGGGGCCGGGGCGGGAGCGGGGACGCTCAGCCGGGCCGGACTCGGGAGCGGGAGCGGGGGCGGGACGCTCAGCCGGGCCGGACGCCGGGGCGGGAGCGGGAGGGGGGACGCTCAGCGGGGGTGGGACGTTCAGCCGGGCCTGGGCGGGAGCGGGAGCGGGGACGCTCAGCCGGGCCGGACTCGGGAGCGGGAGCGGGAGGGGACGCTCAGCCGGGCCGGGGCCGGGGCCGGGGCCGGGGCGGGAGCGGGAGGGGACGCTCAGCCGGGCCTGGGCGGGAGCGGGAGCGGGGACTCGGGAGCGGGAGCGGGAGGGGACGCTCAGCCGGGCCTGGGCGGGAGCGGGAGCGGGGGCGGGACGCTCAGCCGGGCCTGGGCGGGAGCGGGAGCGGGGGCGGGACGCTCAGCCGGGCCGGACTCGGGAGCGGGAGGGGACGCTCAGCCGGGCCGGACTCGGGAGCGGGAGGGGACGCTCAGCCGGGCCGGACTCGGGAGCGGGGGCGGGACGCTCAGCCGGGCCTGGGCGGGAGCGGGAGCGGGGGCGGGACGCTCAGCCGGGCGGGACTCGGGAGCAGGAGGGGACGCTCAGCCGGGCGGGACTCGGGAGCGGGAGGGGACGCTCAGCCGGGCCGGACTCGGGAGCGGGAGGGGACGCTCAGCCGGGCCGGACTCGGGAGCGGGAGGGGACGCTCAGCCGGGCGGGACTCGGGAGCGGGAGGGGACGCTCAGCCGGGCGGGACTCGGGAGCGGGAGGGGACGCTCAGCCGGGCCGGACTCGGGAGCGGGAGGGGACGCTCAGCCGGGCCGGGGCGGGAGCGGGAGCGGGACGCTCAGCCGGGCGGGACTCGGGAGCGGGAGGGGACGCTCAGCCGGGCCGGGGCGGGAGCGGGAGGGGACGCTCAGCCGGGCCGGAGCGGGGGCGGGAGCGGGACGCTCAGCCGGGCCGGACGCGGGGAGCGGGGACGGGAGCGGGACGCTCAGCCGGGCCGGACGCGGGAGCGAGGGCTGGGACGCTCAGCCCAGGCCGGGAGCGGGGGCGGGGGCGCTCAGGCAGGCCGGGGCGGGAGCGGGGGCGGGGGCGCTCAGCCCAGGCCGGGAGCGGGGGCCGGGGCGGGGGCGGGGGCGCTCAGCCCAGGCCGGGAGCGGGGGCCGGGGCGGGGGCGGGGGCGCTCAGGCAGGCCGGGGCGGGAGCGGGGGGCGGGGGCGCTCAGCCCAGGCCGGGAGCGGGGGGCCGGGGCGGGGGCGGGGGCGCTCAGGCAGGCCGGGGCGGGAGCGGGGGCGGGGGGCGCTCAGCCCAGGCCGGGAGCGGGGGCCGGGGCGGGGGCGGGGGCGCTCAGCCCAGGCCGGGAGCGGGGGCCGGGGCGGGGGCGGGGGCGCTCAGGCAGGCCGGGGCGGGAGCGGGGGCGGGGGCGCTCAGCCCAGGCCGGGAGCGGGGGCGGGGGCGCTCAGCCCAGGCCGGGAGCGGGGGCCGGGGCGGGGGCGGGGGCGCTCAGGCAGGCCGGGGCGGGAGCGGGGGCGGGGGCGCTCAGCCCAGGCCGGGAGCGGGGGCCGGGGCGGGGGCGGGGGCGCTCAGGCAGGCCGGGGCGGGAGCGGGGGCGGGGGCGCTCAGGCAGGCCGGGGCGGGAGCGGGGGCGGGGGCGCTCAGGCAGGCCGGGGCGGGAGCGGGGGCGGGAGCGCTCAGGCAGGCCGGGGCGGGGGCGCTCAGGCAGGCCGGGGCGGGGGCGGGGGCGGGAGCGGACGCTCAGCCAGGCCGGGAGCGGGACGCTCAGCCCGGCCGGACGCGGGAGCGGGGGAGGGGGGGGCGGGAGCGGGAGCGGACGCTCAGCCAGGCCGGGAGCGGGAGCGGGGGCGGACGCTCAGCCCAGCTCGGGCCGGACCAGTCCAGCCTGGCAAGAGGCCCAGGGGGAGGAGAAAATGGGGAAGCCCCGGCCCACCACCACGCGGGTGGGTGCACGGGAGGGGGGAGGGGCACGCAGGGGCATGGGCGTGGCGTGTTAGGGGGCGTGGCGGGGCATGGGCGTGGCGTGTTAGGGGGCGTGGCGGGGCATGGGCGTGGCGTGTTAGGGGGCGTGGCGGGGCATGGGCGTGGCGTGTTAGGGGGCGTGGCGGGGCATGGGCGTGGCGTGTTAGGGGGCGTGGTGGGGTCCGGGCGTGGCCTGGGTGTGGTGACCAGGGTCTGGGTGTGGTCTGGGCGAGGCGCGGGAGTCTGGGCGTGGCGCCGGGGGTCTGGGCGTGGCGCCGGGGGTCTGGGCGAGGCGCGGGAGTCTGGGCGTGGCGCCGGGGGTCTGGGCGAGGCGCGGGAGTCTGGGCGTGGCGCCGGGGGTCTGGGCGAGGCGCGGGAGTCTGGGTGAGGCGCCGGGGGTCTGGGCGTGGCGCCGGGGGTCTGGGCGTGGCGCCGGGGGTCTGGGCGTGGCGCCGGGGGTCTGGGCGTGGTGCTGGGGGCCTGGGCGTGGTGCTGGGGGTCTGGGCGTGGCGCCGGGGGTCTGGGCGTGGTGCTGGGCGGCGGGGGGGGGTCTGGGCGTGGCCTGGGGTCTGGGCGTGGCGCGGGCCGCCCCGTGCACCGGACGGGACAGGACGGGAAGATCGGACAGGGCATGGGCGTACGAAGGAAGTCCTTACCGAGCAGCAGCGACCAGGACCGGAGGCCCGGCGCCCTCTTCAGATGGAGGCGGGAGCTGGTGCGGGCCTCCACGCGCATGTACATCGCGGGCCGCGGGCTGCACGCGCGGCCTCCGACCCGGCAGCCGCTCGGTCTGCACCTGCAAAGCCCCGCCGTCAGCCAGCGCCCGGGCCCCCGGGGCGGAACCGGAGCGCGGCGCCCACAGGTCGTCAGAACCCCGCGTACCTGCACGGCCGAGGAGGGATGCGAACCCGCGAGGGCACGGCCGGTGGACCCTTGTCGCAGGAACTTCCGGGAACGAAGGCGGTGCCGCGCTGCCGCCCGGAGTTGTGGGGCGACCGGGACTTCCGGGATCGAGGGCCAGACCCCAAGGACTTCCGGACGGGGTCCGGTCTATGGGCGGGGCCTAGCGAAGGGAGGGACGTGGTGTGGGCGTGCCCGGGGCGGGGCCTGGCGGGCCAGACCTCCGAGCCCGGCGCTGGGTGTCCGGCCCCGGCGGCTCCGGACCTCGAGCGGGAGGGCGCCTGGATCTTGCCCCGAGCGGCCGTCCCGCAGCCTCGGGGAAACGCCGCGGTCCTGGAGCTCCCAACAAAGAGCAGGCAGTAGCCTAACGGCGGAGCGTGTCTTCCCACGCTGGGGGGCTGGGCTCGAATGGGAAGAACCAGGGTGAACAGTGTGAGTCCCAGTGAACTTTGTCCCTGTGGGGAGGAGACGGTGGGTCCCAGGTCCGCCCCGAGGGGGCTGCAGCCCCCTGACTCGAAGGCGCACCGGCGGGCGCCCCCGGCCTGCGCCCTCACCGGAAGAGGCTGGGGCGGCGGCCAATGCACGTGCAACAGCCACCGTGGGAAGCCAAAAGTAGGATCCTGGTGGAGGCCAGGACCTAGGCAGGCAGTGAGACCCGGGTCTCAGAAATAAACTGTCAGCCGGCGCCGGTGGCTCCCGCCTGTCATCCCAGCTACTCAGGCCGAGATCTGAGAATCGCGGTTCAAAGCCAGCCTGGGCAAGAGTCTCCAATAAACCGCCAGAAAACCGGAAGTGGTGCTGTGGCTCAAGCGGTAGAGCGCCCGCCTTGAGCTGAAGAGCTGAGGGACAGCGCCCAGGCCCAGCGTTCCAGGCCCGGGACCGACCAAGAAAAAATAAACTGTTAGATTATTTGGATTTCACCAGAGAACCACGCTGACATCCGGGTACAGAGAACAAAGAAAGGAGAAGCGCCCGCTATTGTCCCGGGTGACCTGTGTAACCTAGGGGGTTAGGCGGGGCCGGAAGGGGCAGGAGGCGGACTGGGATGGACGGCTGCCCGGTCCGAAGGTCACCACGGGCCCTCGAGTCCTCGGGCGGCGGTAGCTGCCCCTCGCAGACGGGGCTGGGCGCCGATGGCTTCCTGCCTGGCTGCGCGGCCGGGCGCTGTCTGGAAGGCAGCGCCGAGCGTGGGTTAAGCGATGGAACTGGAGAGGAGTGTCTCCCGGCTTCACCTGCCTCCCCTGGCTTCGGACTGGGCCCTCGGCGCTCCGGCCCCGGCCGCCGCGAAGAGCCCGGCCAGTCCTCCAGCCGGTACCACGGCTGCTGTGGACGGGCTCGAGGGCCCCGCCGGGCCCCGCACACACCGCGCAGCAGGTCCGCCCGGAGGCGGGCGTGCCGGGCCGGCCTGCCTGCCGCCTCCTCCCGTGGCGAGCACCCACTCCTGCCCTGCAGCCCGCGTCCCCACGACGGCTCTGCGGGGCTGCGAGGCCCGCGCCCGCCGCGCTCCGGCCCCGCCCCGCCCCGCGCTCCGGCCCCGCCCCCGCCGCGCCCCGGCCCCGCCCCGCGCGCGGCGCGCATGCGCGCTCAGGGCTCGCGGCCTACGTGACCCACCGCCGGGCGGCTATGGCGGCGGGCGCGGGCGGCCCCAGCCCCGCCCTCCAGGAAATGCAGACGAGGGCGGTCCGGCGGCGAGCCAACGGAGCGGGCGCCCGGCGCGGTCCCCGCTGGGCCTCCTCCGCGTGGCTCTCCATTTTCCGTCCCCGACACTCAACCAGGTCGCCGTTACCTGGCCGAGGCTGAGCGCCGGCGAGCGGGAGAACCGGCCGGGCCGCCGAGGCGGGGGACGCGGCAAGCCCCCCTCTGGTTGGCCTCGCGCGGGACCCCCTCTTTCCGCCACTCTCATTGGCCTGAGCGGAGCCACGCTGACGGGCCGTCCCGCGCCTGCGCTCTTCCTCTTGGACCGGAGGGCGGCCCTCCCTGGCTGAGCGTTCTCATTGGTCGCAGTCCGTCTTTGGAGGCGGGGCCGCACTGGGCGAAGACAACAAAGGGCGGCGGCGGCGGCGTCTCCCGTGCTCGGCTCGGCGGCGGCGTCCGGGCCTCCCGCCGGGCCCTCCAGATGAAGTGTGAGCGCTGCACGCGGAAGGTGGGCGCCGCGGACCCGAGGCGTGCGCGCGCCTCCGCCGGCGGCGTGGGGCCGGAGGCGGGGGGCCGGGACCGGGGTCCGGGGACCGGAGGCGGGGGGCCGGGGCCGGGGGCCGGAGGCGGGGGGCCGGGACCGGAGGCGGGGGCCCGGGGCCGGGACCGGAGGCGGGGGCCCGGGGCCGGGACCGGAGGCGGGGGCCCGGGGCCGGGACCGGAGGCGGAGGGCCCGGGACCGGAGGCGGAGGGCCCGGGACCGGAGGCGGGGGCCCGGGACCGGAGGCGGGGGGCCGGGACCGGAGGCGGGGGGCCGGGACCGGAGGCGGGGGGCCGGGACCGGAGGGCCGGGGCCGGGGACCGGAGGCGGGGGGCCGGAGGCGGGGGACCGGGACCGGAGGCGGGGGGCCGGGACCGGAGGCGGGGGGCCGGGACCGGAGGCGGGGGGCCGGGGCCGGGGACCGGAGGCGGGGGGCCGGGGCCGGGGACCGGGGCCGGAGGCAGGGGCCGGGGCCGGGGCCGGAGGCGCGGGCTGGGACCGGGGGGCCGGGGCTCGGCGTTGCGGGCAGCTCGGCCCGGGGCCGCGGCTCCTCCGCCAGGGAAACACGCGCGAAGTGGGGGCCGGGACGGGTCACCGGCCGCGCCGCCTGAGGGCCGCGCAGCGTCCGCCGGGCGCCCGGTCCGCGGACTCCGGGCCGGCTCTCCGGCCGTGCGGCTGGCCCTCGCTCCAGGCCGGCGCCCACCCGCGATGCCCGCCCACGGCCCACGTGTGCCTGGTCCGGATGAGTCAGATGTGCACGACGGTCGTTTCACTCCTAATTTTCAGTGAGAACGATTCAGGCGCGTGCGGGCGTGCGTGCGGGTGTGCGTCATCATCCACCTGTAAGCACAGTACTCTCATTTCTGTAGAAAAGATTCATAGACAGGAAGTTAATGGATCAAGGTATGTGTTTCTTGTGACTGAATCAGGTTAGAAATTGTTCTTTAACAATGTTCCCTTGCCTTCTCAAGGAATGTAGTAAAAGAACAAAAACTGATGACCAAGAGGAGGTGCCCATCGATGCCCCAGGTCCAGTGGAGGAGAGTGAAGAGGCAAGTACATTCCTGTTTTGTATCAACCAGTGAGGGCTGTTGTTTGTGCTGTTCAGAGGCTCAAGTCACCGTGCCCATCTTGTTCTAAGAAAGACCAAGGTAAAAGTGAAGGGCTCGGGGCTGGGGTGCAGCGCTACCTTCGCTCTCAAACACACCAGGCTCCAGGCTGAAACACTGAACAGAGGAGTGACGGCATGATACTGAAACCTCTGTTCTGTACGCCACGGGTAGGAAATTTCTAAAGTAACTTAAACGTCATGATTTTTATATTTGGCAGCACTGGAGTTTGAGCTCAAGTCGCACTTGCTAGGCTAGTGGAGTACTCAGCCATGCCTCCGGCGTGGTACTTTCACTGGTCGTTTTTAGAATAGGGTCTTGCTTCCTGCGCTGAGTGTGTCTGACTGCAGTCTCCCTGCTTTGTGCTTCCTGTTGTTGCTGGGGTCACAGCTGTGTGCCACTGCGTCCCCCTTCTCTCCTTGACCCTGCAGTCGCAGCCTCCCGTGTAGCTTATGATGTGGGTGTGTGTCACTGCACCCAGCTCTGGGTTGAGAGGAGTCTCACAAACTTTTCTGCCCAGGATGGCCTTGGAACTTCAGTCTTCCCATTATTTTTCTGTGTTCAAGACTGGGACTTGGATTTGGTATCTGGTACTTTTGCTCATTGGCTGGCACTGTAGCACCTAAGCCAGGCTTCCAACCTTAGTGTTCTTGTTCCCAACCTCCCCAGTAGATGGGATTAAAGGTGTGGGCCACTGGCGCTCAGCAAATTTCATGATTCTGTAAGCTTAGCGTTTAAATAGGTTTTTCTCCAATTCAGTTCTTTTCAAAATTTTTTTAAGTTTCTTTTTTGTTTGGGAATACTCAAGTTTGAGTTCATTTTTCACGCTTGCTAGGCAGGTGCTCTGCCCTGGGGCCATGTCCTCTTCCAGTTCCATTTTTGTTGTTTGTGTGTCACACGCTCTGAGCTGGACTTTCTGTGCCTGCCATCTCAGCTCGGGGTGCTCTACCAGTGTCCCCTGCTCACAAGAATGTGTTAGGAGGAGGTTAAGTCACTTCACCCCTTAGAAAATTCTAGAATCAATTTTTGTCAGTCATGGGACTTGAACTCAGGGCATGGGCACTGTCCCTGAGCTTTTTTGCTCAATGCTAGCGCTCTACCACTTTTGAGCCACAGTGCCATTTCCTGTTTTCTGGTGTTTAATTGGAGATGAGAGTCTCACAGACTTTCCTGTCCAGGCTGGCTTTGAACTGTAATCCTCAGATCTCAGCCTCCTGAGTAGTTAGGATTACAGGTGTGAGCCACCAGTGCTCTAGAACCAAGTTTATGTGGAGAATTGGCCCTGTGGGAAAAGCAAGAGACAGATTTTTTTCTCTTAGGTATTCCGATGTGCTGTTTAATTGACGGGCACTAGTCTGATTCTCTTGTGTGCTGGTGCTGTGTTATGGAAACTAGGACCTGGGCAGCAACAAGGCTTGAGGCAAAAACCCAGAATGCTGCTCACTAGGTGCCGGAGCTGCCGACAACGAAAGGGAGTCCTGAACTAGGGGCGAGGATGCGGAAAAATAAAGACATAAGACAAAGGATGGGGTTGGAGGTCTGCATCTCAAGACTGCAGCACCGTTTATTTTTAACTTTCCTTAGTATATACTATTAGAAGTCAAGAGGTAACATAAGGTTACAATAGTCTAGAAAAACAAGGAAAATTTTAGTAAAAACAAGACAAGGTCAACTGGTAGAAAGTTAAACTCTGTAGGTATAGCAAAGCAATCCTGGGCACCTGGTATTTTTTTAAGTAAGCCAGTTCCTTGAACGTTTCTTTAAGTGAGCACCGGGGTCAAGATGACCTTTAAACTTTACTGTCGGCTCCCAACAACTAGGCATCCAGGAACACCTGATCCCTGAGCTAGTGGAAGCCAATGCCGTGGGGCAGCTGGACCAGGGCTTCTCCATGCCTGCTGTCTGCAGCACCTTGAACAAACACCTAACCACACTGGCCATGGTGGTGCACAGGACAGAAGGGTGTTTGAGGGCTGGGAAGGTGGCTCAGTGGTAGAGTGCTTGCCTTGCATGTCTGAGGCCCTGGATTCGATTCCTGAGCATCACATAGGCAAAAAGAAAAAAGCCAGAAGTGGTGCTGTGGCTTAAGTGGTAGGGCGCTAGCCTTGAGCTGAAGAGCTGAGGGACAGCGCCCAGGCCCAGAGCAGACTTCAGGTCCCACGACCGACAAAAACAAGGGTGTTTGAGGCAGGAGGATCACACGTTTGAGGCC